CCCGGATGTTCCCGGTGTACTTGACGCTCGGCATGAAGTCCCCGACGAGGACGTTGCTCTTCTCCACGATCTCCATGTCGAACAGGTGCGAGAAGGACTCGCAGTCGAGGACGACTACGACGTTAGGGTTCACGTTCGCGAAGAAGGGGAACGACGGAGGCACATTTGCACGGAACACGGTGCTCTTGTACTTCTCGATCCTCTTCCTAAAGAACGTCTCCGGGCCTTGGAACCAGAAGTAGTCCAGGCGGTCCGATATCGGGCCAAGGAGCGGCCACCCGTAACTGCCCGGGATCGTGCGCACCGGGAGGGCAGTCGGCGGCGGTGCAGACAGCGCTGGCGACAGGGACGACGAGGTCGGCGACGGCGGAGAGGAGGACGACATGGCCGACGATATGTTGCTCATCACAACTCTCGCCATCGTCCCGGCGGTAATGGTTTGTGTTTGTGTTTAGTGATCTATTTTGGGTGTGGGTTCTTAGGTGGTGATGATGTATAAAGGATGATCTGAGCTGGGTGAGCAAAGAATGTCAAGTATGTGTTATATATATTGGGTGAGGTGAGGTCCTTGTACGTTGGCAAAGATTTGAAACGTTGGAATTTCTTTTTGGTCCACCGCCCGTCTCTTCATACACTGAAAATCTACTATAGTGCCGTGAAGATTTTTAGAGTCACTGAACCTAGAAAAGACAAATGAATGGAAGGGACCCCGTGGGGGATGGCGAAAAAGAGGCTGTGTGGGGCTCGTTGCTTGGTCAAATTGATTGGCCAATTCAATTCCATTAGATCTCGAGGATGAGGGGAAATGGCATGGATAATGCTTTTTTATATGCACAGGATGGTTTGCAATGGATGGAAAACCGCAAATTTTATCCGCAACATTCGAGTTGCATAACTAGGGTTTTGATAGGTTCGAAGGATGATTTGCATTGGATGGAAAATCGCAAATTTAATTTGCAGCATTTGAGTTGTATAACTAGGGTTTCAATGGAAAAGGATGGTTTGCAATGGATGGAAAATCGCAAATTTTATCTTCAACATTTGAGTAGTATAACTAGGATTTCAATGGAATTGAGATCAAAGGATGGATTGCATTTGAGTTGCATAACTAGGGTTTCAATGGAACTGGGGATCGAACCAACAAAAAAACCGAAATGGAGGTTAAAGAGAAATTTATCCAAAGGAAGCATGTTGCAAATTCAAGCTCTAGCCCATGTCATCCACGACGAGAGACAAGAGCACGATTCACTAAGTTCAACCATGATAGAAAGACAGACATTGCCCGGTCGAGCAAGCGTGCATCTTAAGCCAACGGAGCTATCAATCCTTATGGTATGATCGATCCAATCCAAATAGATCTTATGTGCAAAGTGGTGTCTTCGTAAGTGGTTAAGATAATTAAGCGGGGTCAAGGTAATTTGTTGTGTAAACAAGTTGGGGAAAATTACCAAAACATTCCTAAACATATGGCAATTGTATCAATTCAGTCCTAAACCTTTTACATTTGTGCCGATTCAGTCCATCCAACCACTTTTGGCCGGCGCTGACGTGGACACCGGCCAGTGCCAACCGTCCAGCCGACGCTAACGCGGCAATTTAAAAAAAAAGTTTATTTTTTTTCGATTTTTTTTTTTACTTTTTTTCTCTCTCTCTGTTTTTTTTTTCTATCTTCTTCCCTGGTCGATCCGGCGAACGGCGACCAGCAAGAGGCTAAGGCTGTTGAGTTGAACTTGCCGGCCATGGGCGAGGTTAAGCCTCGCCATGGTCGGGCAAGCTCAACCTCGGCTAGTAACAGCAAGGTCTTGCCAGATCCACCCTTGCCGTCGCTGGGCGAGGTCTAGCTTGCCCATGGGCAAGCTAGACCTCGCCCAGCGACGGCAAGGCCGCCCATATCTGGCTCGACCTCGCCGGCCTCAACCTCTGGCCGGTTGTCGGTCGCCGGACCGGCTAGGGAAGAAAATAGAAAAAAAAGAGAGAAAAAAAGTAAAAAAAATATTTAAAAAATTGCCACATCAGCGTTGACCGGCCAAAAGTGTTCGGATGGACTGAATTGGTACAAATGTAAAAGGTTTAGGACTGAATCGGCACAATTGCAATAAGTTTATGATTATTTTGGTAATTTTCCCAACAAGTTGCGGTCCTTACATGCCAAATCACAATATGTTTGGGTGTAAAAACCTGCTAGAGGAGAGATAGAATAGTAAGAAAAAGAATCAACCGGATCTTGTGTGAAGTTGGTACAGATGTGATGATGCCTTACTAGGTTTCTCAAAACATAGGATGCCCAAGACAAAGTCAGTTTGGTCTCCTCGAGCTCGTGGAGAGATGTCGCATCAGTATCACACTCGATTAACAAGTTTTTTCAGCTGAGGAAATATCGATTAGGCCCTGCGAATCCAACTTTCAAACCGACACGTCCACCACTCAATTAAGGAACACATGGAAAGAGTGGAAGGGCAACAGGAAAATGCACATGTCGCCAGTCTCCTCTTCTCGCCACGACGTGTGGTCGAGCGGTTGTGCTTTGATTTTCTCCATTATAGCTTCGCCTGGTCGGTAGTGCCATCACCAGGAGGCCACAAATATCTCAGCAAGAAGACGCTGCTTTGACGTAACAAGCCGCCCCCATCATCTCCGCAGCTTTCAAAAGGGCGTTGCATGTATCTCGTTTCCAACCCCTTCCTGCACTAGGTGGGACAAAACCCTTTTCACCACATGCACACATCATCGCCACGGACGACTTTTCCTCCTCCCTTGTGGAAGTGATGTGCGTATATCGTTTCGAAAGAAGAAGTGACTTGGTGGGCCCCCTCGCGTGCACGTGGCATCACGTGAATTTTGCCTCCTCCTCTGTTTTTTTTCTTTTTTGGATCTATTATGAGCGAAGTTACGAACACAAAAGAGGTGGCCCCCAAATGAATACCCGCATGGTATTCCAATTGATACCTCGATGTATCTCGGCCATTGATTCATATATACTGTGCGGGGTAGAAAATCATTAGCGCATATTTTGTCGATCCATGTGAAACTTGCAATACAATAATAGACCCTTTTAAGTGGTAGAGATTGCAGAAGGAAAACACTGGGTCGAGTTCATACAAATTCCTTTTCATTGGTTCATAATTTTCTCTTTCTGGTTGAATGAATTTCACAAGCCGGCCTATCCTGTCCAATACAAATGACAATTTCATAAGTATTGTACAGATAATTACTTATTGCAAGGTTTAATCAACATGGGAGTCGTCCCGGTGGCTAACCTTTCCACTTGGGAAGAGGTCCCAAGAGAGCTAGAGGTGAAGACGTGTGAGTGAGAGGACGGGGTTTCGAAACCCGCGCACAGCACATAACACACATAGTGGCTTGTAAAATAGAAATATTATAGAACCAGATGAAAAAAAAGAATACTATAAATCCTACTTGAAAGTAAGCTGAGTTCGCTTTTAAGAAATCTGGACAACGATATACATTCACCCCACATACACAAAATCAAATTTACAATGACTCTATACGAAACAAAGAAACATACCGAATCAATTGTTTTCCTTAACCGACTTGAGCTCGTATCTTCTCATCTGTCCAATTTTATTCCACTAAAGAGAAGCCAAACATGATGGACCAATACAATCTCAATCATTAATTTTTTGGGCCACACGAGATAATCACAAAAAAAAAAGTCTTAAACATGTTGTATACAAGTCAATTGCGTCATAAACTTTTTAATTTGGTCAATTTATTTCTAAATCTTTTAATGATTTGACAATGTAGTCATTCCGATCATTTTTCGCCGAAAATTGCTGAAGTGGTGCTTCGGTCATTAAGGCTATCTTATATAGCATGTTTGACGGCCAGTGATGACATGAATGGTTTTTTCAATTTTCTTTTTAAATTGGGTTAATATCACAAAGAATCTCAAACTGATACACCTGTGACAAATTTATCTTCCATTAGTTTCTTTTAAATTTTACCGTTAAATTACTGAGTTGGATGACACGTGGCAGTTGACCGGTGTACCAGTTTGGGGTTTTAGTTTGTGATTTTTCGCAGTATTAATCCAATTTAACGGAAACTAATGGAGGGTAAATCTGTCACAAATGTACCACTTTGGGGTTTTTTGTAGTCAAAAAATTATTTTGGAGTATATTTGTCACAAGTGTACAAGTTTAAGGTTTTTAATAATAAAAAAATTAGTTTTTGGTAAATTTGTCAGAGGTATACTAGCTTGGAGTTTTTCGTGATATTAACCCTGCTAAATTTTCTAAAATTTTTCTTATTTTTCCTCTCTTTTCTTTCTTCTCTTTTCTTTTATTTTTTTCCTTCATATTTTCGGTCGACAAGGTTGCTAGAGGAAAAAAAAGAAAGAAAAAAGGGAAAAAAGAGAAACTTTAGAATTTTAAAAAAAATTGCAAATATTATCCACGTCAATACCGAACGTGCCTCGTAGGACGGTTGATGTCCACTTCATCAAATCGATCGAAAAGATTATCTTGATAAATTATTAAAAGATTTAAAATTAAATTAAAAATATCGAAAAGTCCAAAATTGAGTTGTCCTTGGTCCAGCCACACAGGACCAAACACGATGGACGGTGAAAATAGACTCATGCTCCATTATATGCATGGGATGGCGCAAAGGCCTTTCGTACTGACACGCACCTCCGAGCCAAGCTTGGGGGACCGAACGATAATGAGTGGCCCCGTGATTGGACCGATCGGAGATGGACAAGAGGGACGTCACGGGACGATGATTTCGCCCGTTCTGTCAGTACTTCCGACACCCCCACGCGTGTTACACGCCATCGACGAGTTCAACCCCCGGATGCATAAGTACATGCTTTGTCACTATTAAGGCAGATATTGTCCTAAGTAATCAATCTTATGTCGGCTCACTCAATCGACAAGTTGGGGTCATGCCCAAAATTTCGTAGGAAGAGAGTCCTACAAGTACCAGTCCCTAAAACAATGATTATGGAGAGTTTCGCGGAGCGATGATTTCATGAGACCGCTAAATTATTCGAAAGATTCGAACTTGCACAAAGATTCGAGATTGATTATGTATACGTCGACAAAGTACAAATTCTCACGGGAAAGAGAGTAAAAGAAAGGGGAAAAGAAGCTTGTTCTTTCGGAGTCGTCGACCATGTCGAAAACGCGCACGCACATATTTGTTCTAGCAGTCTTTTCTACACGAGGGTGGAGCCAATGAGCAGCTACTTTGGGGAACTTTTGTAAGGGAAGATGGTGCCTCCTCGCAACTTTTGCTAATGTACGTTCGGACATCATCAACTCATGCAATGGCTGCAACATGGCAAGAAAGCTAGGGAAGAGCAATGAGCGTGAAATGATGTAAGACAGACAGAGGCAGTCGGAGTTTTTCCAAACCATGCAGATTGCAGATGAGCAATTACGTACCAAGTAGAATGCAACTTTCAAAGGATATTGATGATACAGGTCTTGCTGAGAATTTCCTGAAACGGAGAAAAATTAAGGAGTTGTAAAGAATGTTCGACGCGATTTTGACTTCGAGTCGAGGGTACTGTATGTGAATATGTCCCTCCAATTTGGAAGGCTCTGTCTTGCGTGTGTATCTGTGTGTTTGGCTGGAAAGAATCCCCTGGTAGCGTTTAAAAACGGAACGGGATCGAACGGACCCAGTAGTCCCTCGGACAGAAGGCGAACGGCTGCTCCGCACGTGAACTTCCTTGCAAATAGAAAACATGGGGCGGGTGCACGATTGACCTGACACCATTCGGTCTGATTCTCGGATTCATAGTGGATTGCCTCAATCTCCTGCGTGGCCATAAATAGACTTGAGAAAGTTTAACTTATGGAAACAATTCAAACTGGCAAAAGTTTCGAGCTATATCAATGGCTCAAGAATTCCACACGTCGAGGGACGCCCATCCTGAAATTTAGAAAGGGTTGTAAAAGTACAGCTCTTCTTAAACTATTGAGTTATGTGCTTGTCGTCGATCCAATGTGTGCAGTCTACGTGTATTGAATGATTCGATGTCATAATGCTGCAGAATTCTGATGTATGCTTGTACAACAACGGTTTATCGAATATGTGACACATCCAGAGACTGATGTCTTAAAGTTCAGATCTCCAAAACAAGCAGCATCACTTACCTTTATTTCTTTGATACTTCGAGGGCTTGCATCTGTGTAATCGAAAGTGACAGGGTGCCACTGTTCATCCTTTTGTGTAGGTGATTGATTCCACTGAGCGTAGGTCAATGATCTTCGGGAGAATTCATTCTCGAGCCCGCTCATCTTCAAAAGAAGCACAGAAGCAACTGAGCAATAGTAAAGCTTCACTGTCACAGATAAAACTAAAAGAGCAGTGGAATTTGAATGCAATTGTATTGGCCGGGCATTCCCTAGTGAACCATTTCTAGGGAGCGGGCAAACCAAAGAAACTAGAACGGATAAAATATTTTTCTGTTCGTGCAAATTGAAAGGATTAGGAGGGGTGAGCAACTTGGTTATCTCCTCTGGACATTATCATAAGAGTCTAGCACCCACTACGGAATGTTCAATTTTAGTTGCATGTACTCAGCACCGCCTGTGATCTAAAGATTTGTGATCAACAAGCCTTTGTTGCAGCCCCACCAGGATGCGAGAGGTCCAAAACCCATCTGCACAATACTTGATACATGTGCTGCTCCGTAAGCAGTTTTCGACCTCATGACCTGGCGTTTCTGGAAATGCTGACCCTTATCATTAGGCCACCATCGTTGTCGCCAGTGGTGGGAAATGTTGTTTTTGTCTATAACTAGATAATAGAGCAGGAAGCACGACTGTTCAATTGTTTTTCACATTAGCGACATGTCAATTGTATCCAGAACAGAAACATAAAGAATCGGGTCACTCACTGCAAGCAATGTCTGCAGATAATGTTCGTCCGGGATACAATCCTGCAGCTTATGAAGATCCTGCATATATGTTCAATATAGTAAGCAAAAACATATTCCTTATCTGGGCATAAGGTGGAGCCTCCATAGTAATGTTTTTGGATGGGAAGCTATTCTAGCCATTCAATAATAAAGAGCAAGCCTCGACTTACAAGCATCTGTCTTATCGCGCTCGCACTTGCATTTGACTGTCTCTGAAAGATAAGAGAGATTATGACTTAGTAGTTACGAACTTCTTCTGCACAATTAACTTACCCATGCTTTTATTGCATTTTAATGAAGGAGTAGAGGACAATAAAAAGGAATTTCTTGGTTCACCCATTTCACTCAATGTTCTTATTGCAGATGAACAAGATAAATCTCAAAAACAATAATCATGGAGAATGCTATTATCACATTTGAGAAAGAACCTAACCAAATGAACAGGAGGAGAAAGACGGACATAATGTAGCGAATTCTTTTGCCTACCTTGCAAGATTTCTTGATGATGGGGAAAACAACATTGTCATCTGCAACAATTTGTGCATGTCTTCTGATTAAAGTGAACCACTGAGATCAACGGCATAACTATATCATACAATGACCCAGTTCAGAAGATTCAATAAAGTCTTCTGGTTTTAGGTCTTCTGCTAATTGTCATTATGCTAACCACAATCCTTTAGGGTTACTTACTGCACTCATTAATGAAGGCAAAATTGAGGAAAGAAAATTGGAAGATGGGAAGACCTGAGATCCTTTTCGCCATTTGTCCTTTGGTATGGCTTGCAACATTTTCGGATCATATCGATCATCCTCAAAATCAAAATAGCTATAACATGGAAAACAGAGGACTTAGGCTCGTATTCCCTATAAACTTGTCATCGTGTAATACCAGAAAGGACATTTCTTACTGAAAAAAAGAAATTCACTGGAATATTACGGACTCTTTCCTCTCTTTATCTACCTTTCCACATAACTCTTCTGAGAAGAAATCAGATGCTCATAAATGTCACGGAATTTGTACAGTGGCAAGCAGCTGTCAGATACACCAAATACTGTTACAAGTAAGAATCCGTATTTAACTACGAACTTTCCAACCAAGTAAAAGCAAACAAGTTTCAAGTGCTTAGTTGAGTTTGTCATTCCATATCAAGAAAAGGGTAATGTAACATGGGCTGAAGAACTTATTTAGACTTTGCTTTGAGGGGGCAAACCTATCAGAAAGGAGAACAAATCTCCGATTAGCAGGGTCGCGAAGAGCTACTTTAAGCAATAACCTCTCTGCTTCTATCATGCTTGATTCTCCCCAGGCTACCTGCAGCAGCAGTTTTTTTACAAAACAAAGTTTGCGCGTCGAATTAAATGCAGGACATATAAATAAAATCCGAGTCAACCCCAGCAGGGCAGCTAATTCATCTGGTTTTTGCCAAACTAGGTCAGCTATTCGGTACGCAAAAGGAAAAAGCTTATCTCAAATCCTAACGTGCCTTTGAAGTACTGCATACATCGGATACGCCATCGACGAGAAGACATGGATCAAATTCTTTTCATTAAAGTGACCAGGTATCGAAAAAATAGAATCGGATGTTTGTTTCTATATTAATCATCTCGATTTTGATTGGTGAAACGCGGCCTATCTGATTCGTTAATTACTTTCCCGCGAAATATAACTGCATTCTTAGTCTGAGTTGCTTCCTTGATCTCAATTAATCAGAAGACAGTTACACAAAAGCTAGCAACAAATCAAACATTTCGTGTCCGACATAATTACTATGAATGAGTTACCTTAATACTGTTGTTTAACTGGCATCCGTAAAAGAAAGGGGACATAGAAGTGGACTCATTGAACACAAACCCAGGTTCTGAATGAATATAAATTGAGAAATTCTTCACATTAGCCTCCTACAAAAAAAAATCCAACACACCAACATCAGAAAAAGCACATATAGATGTAAGAACTTCATGCTAGCTATTGAATCATATGAGCGAATGATAAACCTGGAAGAAAGCACCCCACATGAAGTCCAGAGGAATGTTCTTACGAGCAAGAAACAGAAAAGCAACTTTCGGGTTAGTGGTAGTCTCAGGTTTTGGTTTTTCCTCAATTCTCGATTTGTTGGTGCTCGATCCCGATCCCGATCCCGGCTGGTTAAGCCTCACGAGGGCGAAGAAGCAGAACACGAGAAATATAGAGAAAACCAGCTTCGAGCGAAGCACCGATAAATGGCATATGGGCAAAGAAGCTCTCTTCTTGCCCATGGCTCTCCGTTTTCGGTTCTCATGTAATGCTGGGGGAGGAACATGCAGGAATTGAAAGTAACTGAGATGGAGAGAGAGGGGAGAATATAAAGGGAGAGATGAAACTGATGGAGGGAAGTTAAGATTGCCCTTACGTTGAGATTGCGCTCTGAAATCACATCATTGATGAGTGATGAACGTAATGATTGTGAAACATGGTTTGGCTCATGCAATCATGAGTTTCTAAGTGAGTTCACGTCTCACAAGTCCCTGTCTTGCTCGCAGTGCTGATTCTCATTTTCGTTGAGGTAAAAGCGCTTTCTATGCAGTTGAAAGTAGAAAGCTCACAACATCGGCGGACATTTCTGTCTCAGAAAATATAGCAGAGAATAGTTTTGGTCCTGCTTTTCTTGCTTGAGCAATATATGAGCGAAAAAGACGTGTAGGAGAAAAAAGAGCAAATAATTGTTTGGAGTCTCTTCAGATTGGTGAGTGTCTGTGCCCGTATGTCTTTCACAAAACTAAGGCCTGCCATGCGCTTATTCCTTACCTGGAATTGACTACTATCATATATAAGAATGCAGACATTTGAACTCAAATTCGTGACTGGACATTCGCCGATTTTTCTTCTAACATCTCGGTGAAAGAATAATTTTACTAACAAGATGCCAGCTTTGTCATTCTCTAACCACACTGACGTACAATATGAATCCTTTTAACAACCTGAATCAACTTCGTCATAATTACTGAAATTTCATTTGTTCCACTCACTGTTCAAATTCGAGCCTTTCCTCGAATTCATTTACTAAAGAGACAGAAAAATCTTTCCTGATCAGTATCATGACAATCAGCAGGAAGTTGGAAAAACGGTTCTTTGATAGGTAGAAGTAATGTATCTTACAAGCAGACATGCGTATGCAACCACTATTCTGCCACCAACTTAATAATACATTTCAAATAAGCTTCAAAGACATCTTCCTTAGCCTCCCTCTGGGATCGTCCTATGAATGGTGGTACAAAGAATCTATAATGTCAACCCTTTCCTAGTTAGTATTTCTCATCAGGTATCCGACAACGCATCCCAAAATAGCACCAGCAACAACCTGCGCCAAGCCAAATGCAATGAAGATCAGATGCCGAATAATGGCTTGCCCCAGATCCAGCGCAGAGGAACTTAATAGAAAAATTCAAATATTATGGCTCCTTTTTTTGGACCAGAACAATAGATATTACTACACGAATTGTTTTCTAAACATTGAAGAGGTCTTTAATCTCTGCTGAAGCAGAGGACTGAAATAAGGATAAGGTGTATTTTAGCAGTATTTCAACTCAAGGCCTCTGTAGAACCACAGAAGAGAAGAATTCTCAGACTTAGAAAAGTACAATTGCTTTTCAATCCTTATGAATGAAACATGATCTTTTATCATTTTCCTTTAGAAGAAGGTAAAAGGGAGACAGAGGGAGGGGGAGGAAGGGGGATTCAAGCAATTGGAAAACAGTAGATTGCTGCTTACAGTGTTACAAGAGATGCAGTAGAAGTGCAACATACCTGAAGTGGTGTATGCCCAAGTAGCTCACGTAGAGGTCTAACACTGGATAACGGGTGTTCTGGAGGAAACTCACAAACGATTTGATTTAACAACTGCAGTCAGAAACAATCACAAATAACAAATCGTCAATCTATCGTTACTCCGAATATGCTGCTACACATGCTAAAGCAACAAATGATACATTATTGTGACAGGAGACATACTTCGGCTTGTCTACCAGCATGACGTCTGACGCCTGAGGCATCATACATCACCTACATATAAAGTACAAAGGTGACAATTTATGAAAAAACACATGTTTACCATAAACAAGAAGGCGTGCGAGTGCCATAAAACGAAACATGAGGTTTTAGAGGACATACAACCAAAGCCAAGACAACTGCAATTGCAAATGCAGATCCCCCAGTTCCTTCTTGCAGACCTATAGCCACTGCTAGAGCAGTGACAGTTGCAGAGTGTGATGATGGCATTCCACCAGAGCCCAGCATTCTTTTGGAGTCCCATCTCCTTTCCTTGAACCTGAGCTTCTAAGAGAGATGCAATTAACAGAGTGAGCAACTTCAATGCACCAAGACACTCGTTGCATGTATGAAGAACTGTTCATACAATTCAAGACGCTCACAAACATCTAGAATACCGCCATCATTTTTTTCATCAAGAATATCATCAGAAAATTCCCAGGTAAAATAACTTTTTCTTTAATAGACAACAACAAACTATAGTAGGAAACGGAAATACGTATAACTCTAACTCAGAAAATGTTACTAATACAAATGCATTGCTGTCTTCAATTTGATACTAGGGCTAATCTTTTCTTAGTTTTCTAGAGGTCAAATTCGAAAATGTTCACATTTAATCAGATGATGCAGGACCGAAGTTCTTTCAGCAATTCCGAACAGATACAGGAAAAAGGAAAACATGTGAAAAAGGGCATTTGGCACAAACTAAAAGATACAACCAATCTTCTAAAGACAGGGTCATATAAACTAACACGCTGAGACATGCAATAGAAACTGAGAGACAAATGAGAGATATCCTAACATATGCCACTTCTATATCAATGAATGGCTAAAGGGTAATTCTGATATAGGCTTTACAAGATCACAGATTGTTGAGATCCTAGTCAAAATGATTCCCGAACACCAAAAACCACATAGGCACTATGTTGTCTATTGCCAACGCTGCAAATGGCGACGTTCCAACAAGTTGGATTTCTCTTGTGGAAACTTAAGAAAGGGAAAACAAACGTACCCATTGACGCAAGTATACATAACCAGACACTACCACTTAAATAATTGACGACGATGCAAATCTTTCTATGTTTCGAAAATGAACTGCTGAAGAGCCGATCGACAATATCAGAGAGTAGATTCCGCTAAACAACCATCAAATTGCAGCAAATTAATCGCGAAATCCGGCACATTCAACACAACCCAACACGCCATATCCTTCAACGATCCCAAAAAACACATCTTTATCGCTCAACGTATGTGCTCGATCGTTTATAAGCAAACCCAAAAGAGGAGGACAAGTAAATCAAGAACAACGAATCGCGCAAAACCATTACAGATCGATCGATCGATAGAGAGAGAGAGAGGGAGAGAGAGAGGACCAGGTGGTGAAGAGCTTGAGGAACTGAGCGAGGGCGAAGGCGAGGAAGGCGGAGATGAGGGGGAGGTTGTAGGGGAGGAGCGACGACGGCTCCCCGCCCGACGTGGCCGCCGACGACGTCGAGGTCGCGTCCGCCGCCGTGACCACCTCGTCCATCGATCTCTCCCCGTGCGCTCTCTTCCTCTTCCTCTTCCTCTTCTTCCTTCGTCACGCGACCACCGCCGAATTCCGATCTCCCGGTATGGACGGGCAGAGCGAGCTTCGCCGGCGCGGGTTCGAAGGTGGGGAAGACAGCGCTCCGGTCAATCGCCCGAAGGAACACCCCTCTCTCTCTCTCTCTCTCTCTCTCTCTCTCTCTAGATTCCAGCTGGACCTGGACGACGCAACTGCAACCTACAAATCGAGGAGAGAGAGAGAGAGACAGCAACATGAGGGGCCCCACATACGAAGGAGCACGTGTGGGCCCGCCGTGCCGCGTCAGCGAGGAGGGAAGCTCCGTCCAATCTTGAAAATCAACGGTCAACACGAGTTCTATAGAAAAAAAGAAAAAAAAAATTAGCAACAACAACTGACGACCACCTTTGACTTTGGATGGAACTAGCTTTTGGCGTGGGTAAAGGCCAACGGATGGTTCTTGAACCGTGATTTAATGCGATTTAATTTGTAACGTGATTCTCGAAATTTAAATTTGTTCAATGATTAATATAGTACATTTTTGTACAGTTCGGGAATTAAATAAATTATGTATAAAAAATTCAGAAATTATATTAAATAAATTAAAAATTTAAGGGCGACATTGCACATCCGGCTAGAATTCATAAATCATATTAAACAAATTTAAATTTCAAGAGTTATATCGCACGTTAGGTCAAAATTCATAGATCATTTGTCATTGTCCATTTCACGTGTAACACCCAATAGGAGGGCGACGAGGAAAAGTAAAGAACTTTTGGGGATTTTGGCTTGCAAAGACAATGTACCAAATCTCTTTTCTGTGATTGAAGGAAGGCTACAATGATGATTCTGCCATTCAAAGGTGAGAACGAGCGGCTCTCCGGGCAAGTCGCTTGTAGGTCGTGAGTTTCCCAGTGGAAGCAAAGGGAAATGCCGAGGAAACATTTCATCAAGTTCGTGGAGACTCTGGATGGTGTGTTTCTGATTGGTATGGCTGGTTCGTGGCCGTCGGCCGATAATGGATAGATAGGCCAGTGATAGTCTCCATGCCTCGAGCCGACATGAGAACGTTTGATAGAAGAAGTCCAAAATTTACACCGAGGGCGCCATTTTTTTATATTTTATGTCGAGCCGAAACGGGTAGTGCCTAGAGTTTCGAGTTTCGACGATCATCAGTTAGTAAAGCCGAGCACGAGTCTTGAAACGGGTGATTACAAAAGATTACGTCGGGTCTGCCAGCATTTGCGCGGATCGACTCCCGTTCTTAACTCCTTTATTCGGATTCTGAGACGAAAGGAAGCCAACCATGACAGTCACGTAAGAGAATTGAATCTGTGAATGAACTTTTGATCTAATAACTAATGGATCACCTCTGGCCATACCTTTCGCTTCTCCTCATTTTGCTTATCTACCTTATGTACCTAATCTGCACCTGTTCTATAATATTCACATATCCGACCGTTAACTCCGAAACCTTCATGACCACCTCAATGTACAACCAGAACTCACAGGAGGCATCAGGGGAAAGCAACCTATGATAATGAGCCGCTATGTTTGCTAGGCAAAGGCGTACTCCGTCGAGAGTGCCGTTTTGTTGGGACGAGCGCGGGTTCCTCGGCAATCTCGTCAGTTGCTGAATCGCTGTCGCTGTCATCTCCGCCTTTGAAAACCGGATGAACATAAGCAGTTTGTAGGAAACCCTTCAAGTTCAAGTTCGGCTCCCTTGCCTTCTCCAGTGTATCTTTCATCATTGCTTCCTGAAACCCCAAAACAAAAATGGAGAAGATGAATGCGAAAGCACGTTATATCGAAGTCATGTCGTACGTGCGAGCTTAGGCTAGAGAGTGAAAGAGAGACACTAGGAAATATGCTGGTCCTTAGAGCCTGGGAAGTGAAAGAGAATGTTGGCCAAATTGGTGTGCACATGACATGCTTCTTTTGTTGTTTTTGTCTCTGGGTGAAAAAGTTGAATTAAACAGCAATCATTTTACCAAAGAATAGGTTGAAGGAATTTCTAAATTTGAGCGCCTAAAGCCAGAAGCCTTGCGCGAAGAAAACTCTCAAAACCAGAAACGGTCCTGGCAAATGATATCTATTATCTAGAGAGACGAAAAAACTAGTACAATAATAGGAAAAGACACAGTAAATCTGAAGATGCAGTCCACCAAAACAATGCAATCAATTGCACGTAATGAAAATATGTTATGTATTCGAATTCGACAAACCTGCAATGGGTATCTTAGGAAAGCGGGCTCATAGCGACCTTTGCAGAACAGGTGGAACCATATGGTTAACACTGGGAGGGTAATCAGAAGAGGAGTCGATTGAGCAGCTTCCTTTGTACTTAATAACCCCATTAGAAGCAGTTGTGAAACGATCAATGCAACTATAATGCGCCCATGAACATCCGGCCAGAAAGCTGCAGCACTCTCATATTCTTGATTGTACACATTTATGATCTACAGATTCACAGAAACAAGAAATAATCAGTACGAAGAAAGAGGTATACCACATCCACTCATCAATGATTAGAAATTCAAGTGAATGTACTAAGAGACACTCTTCTGCTTTGCCTCTCTATGCATAGGAAGCTACATATGACAACATAACTGCAATATGGCGCAATAAATTTGTAAGACAGTTGTCTTTGCAATAACGATTAACGATGTCATAAATACCTGAAATTTCAAATATGAAAAATCTGGAATTTTAAAAAGGAAACAGAACTTGGCTTTTCTTTGTCTTCATTCGGAACTAATTTATTCACACTAAATAGGCGAGCAGAAATCCGTTCCAAACATCGGATAGCCTCATTAGTTCCTCCACTTTACCCCAAGATAGTCTTATATACAATATTAGTTCTGATCACACATTGAGTTACCTGGTGGCGATACACAACATAGGCCAATCCGAAGAAGACTAATATAAAAGGCAGAAGGACTGGAGACACCACAGCATACACGAGGCCAAGCAAAAAATAGAGTTGAATTTGAGGTTCGCCTGTGTTGAAACCAAGAGTTCCCGGGTCCATTGCCTCCTCCCTGTCCTTTTCAGTCTTGACCAGAAACGAGTTTTTCAAGTGGTACATTATTAAGGCTTTCAATCTTAGTATCTCTGCTGCTACTCCAGCCCAACCGTCAACCATTATGTAAGTTATGAAGAAAGTGGCCTTCATCGGAATTGAGACGCCGATTGTCTTAGGAATCCTGCACAAAGCAACATCATTTTTATGTTCTGAATTACGGACAAAGTGGCCCATAATGGGATTAGCAATTTGTTCCTACCAGAATTAGTATATTCCTACCAGGAATGTACTCATTGCCAAATTATGAGATTAGCAACATATCTACCAGTAGTATAAACAAGCCTAAAAATCTAATCTGCCCAACAATAAAAATATTGAATCTGACGAGGTGCATGTATGTTTGACAAGGACAACTTACTCGTTTGCCGACTGGTGCATAAAGTTATTGAGCTGTTGAAATGCAGTTCCTGTAATTATGCTCCCAAGAAATACATTTATAAATTGAAATATATAATATCTTGTTGCCGATCTCCTCTCCATTGTAGATGTGCTTATAAATCCTTCAAATTTGGACATTAGCATTAATATTGTTGGTAAAAATATGAGAAATATCTTCAAAGCAATTCCAGGAAGGAAACCCTGGATGAATGATTTTATCACTGCCCTGCAAGAAGAAAAAGATGCTTTCATTGTTTTGTACACATGTAACTTAAAAAACAGAAGCAAACAACCCATTAGATACAGGTATAGCGAAAGTCAGAATGATGAGAAGAACAGAGAAATTGCAGCATTCTAATATCATTGTATTCATAATCAAAAGGCTATATAACACTATGGATCCTTTTGCATGCGCATTAGAAAAATATGACATATTGAAAGTTAAGGTATTTAACCTAATAAAATGGAATAAAAAACAAAACATAGTAAATTGAAGAAAAGAGACTGATCAGAAACCAGGCAAGCAAAGTCATTCTTGACATGTCACAATATTACAAACAAATCAATATCATCACGAAGAGAAGCAATCACAAACACATAAAACAAAATTTATCATCTGTTGAAAAATGAAACAAGCAGGGACTCACACTTCGATAATGGGCTTTAAGAAGGGCAAGGCTTTCTCGATTCCCTCAATGTTAGCTAGAGATTGCACAAGAGCAATGGGAATCATGAAAAAGAATGTAAGAAAGAAGAACGCAACCGCAATTATAAGCCTCCTTACAGAAAGGGAGACATATGGAATTGCTAGGTTAGCCCAATAGATATCACGTGGCTCTGGAGCCCATTCTGTCAACCATACAGTTGGATTACGGGTTTGCTGGGTTTGTGCACAAACAGCCGCACCCCAGCGTGTCTTGAACGAAACAAAAGATGCGGGCATGACGTATTTAGAGCTGCTTATAGTATTCTCTTTCTCCTGGGCTATCTGAAAGGCAGTAGATAATAAGAAAGTTACAGCAAAGATTACAACAAGTGAAACTACAACTCCGGAAATACTGATGATACGGACAGGTTATGTGAAAATGGTGGCATGATAATACTCTTGGGCATATAAAGTAGCATTGACTTTGCTTATACTACAGAATATTACCCACACACAGGTTCTAAGTGGAAATATTGAGCAACTTGTTAGGGCACAAATAATGGGCATCGATGCTTTGGCAGATGGGTGCAACGCAGGGGGAAGATATCAGCAGCAAACTTGAGGTGACAAAAAAATTTTGTAATGTCATGCAGTCACCATTGGCATCATGCTTATGAGGCAATAGATTGGGAGAAAAAGATTGTCTCACAAATTAACTTGAATCGGACGGCAAAACAAAAGATGCATTAGGATTCAGGAACTAGCGAAGGCAGCTTACTTCTCTTGAAATTTTTTCAATTTTGGAAGTATAGAAATCAATTGCATCCATTCTCTTTCCGCAAAGACCAAGAGTTCCAGTCTGCACATAAAAAACTAATCAGAAAAGAGAGAGAGAAAGAAAGAAAGAGTTCATTTTTCTTGTTGATCAAGCATAATCAGTGAGTTGTCAAAGACAGAAGTTTAATAAAAAAAACAACTCGAAAGAAGCTTATCGATGACCTAACCTTTGTGGTAGGCCTTTGGGATTGATTTCTGGTGTACTTAAGTTGATAGTAATCAAGCCAGTTCTGCAATTTTTTCTTTTCATCAACTAATTTTGAGAGCTTGTTTGCATTGTACACAACCTGCACCAAAAGTTGTAAATTGATTGAGCTGTGGGCAAATGAAATGTCACTGCAAATGCAGGTTGCAGCATATCCAGGTTACATGTAATCATCATCATCAATAACCAAAAAGATGAAAAGGGAAAAATCATTTGGAAGTCAGAATTCTAACTGATGAACAAGACATCCTCAAAGAAATCCAAGGCAAAGAAAGATACTGGGTCCTTTGTGCGAAAAATAGTGACATACGGAGTCTGAAGTCACCCTCGGCACACTTCCTCATGGTCTTAAATTCGGGTTCTATGACATTCACAGATAGCATTTTGTCAGCTAGTGCACACCATATCAGTTGATAACTTGACGTCCAAGTGTGACAAGCAGCGATTCTCCTCTGTCCTAGGCATTCAGCTCAAATATTTCACGAGTTGTAAAACCAGTGGTTCACTAACTTAATAGGGTCTGCTCCTTAGAGCATAATTCTTGATGTCCTCCATGTCTTGCACAAATCTATATGTAGAAGGGGGACTATGCTCGATCTACATAACATAGCCCAAAAAGGAGAGGAAAGAAATCAATCTTCACGCACATAACGGAATTCAATTATAAAGTTGGCCTGATGGAGAAGTAAAAAAGTTTCACACACAAAAGTGACAAAACTTCAGTAGACCAGTGCCCAAAAATCAGCATGCCCTCCATACAAAGATTTCATGGACAATAAGAACGAAGTCTGATAGAATCATATATGGCCAAAAGTGCTTTTTCAGTATGATCAAACCTGATGTGTGAGATAGTGATCTGGATGGTTGACCAAAAAAAAATGTTCCACAAGCTCAGAAACTGATTCATCAGGGTCAGGTGGCACATTCCTAACAAGTACCTGCATGAAAACACATCCATATGCAAAATCAAAACCAGATGTACACAATCACCATGAGTAGGCAAATATGCGCCCAAAACCTAGGAGTCTCTATGTGTGAGATAACAAGGAGACGAACTGAAGCAACATGTAAGTAAGTATTCCCCAAAAATCATGCTTATAATAAGCACAATAGTTATCTGACCGTGAATTGATCTGGCCGCCTATGTTCTGAAGCAACAAAGTGCAGTCTCATCAATGCAACAATCTCATACTCCCTTTTCAAGACATAGCACGTCCAGAAAGTGAAAGCATAAGCCATGACCAAGTGGGTCCAGAATCTATTTTAAGAAGAGAGAGATGTATATCAGCGATGTGAAGAGCTCAAGCTAATAATTGACAGGTCTTCGAAGTAACTAAAACAAGAAAGTGAGCATCAGAAAGCACGGCATACCTGGGTGAGCCATTTGGTACATTTGAGATAGAAAGCTTGTCTATGTTACTGTGGGAGAATTTAGAACGCTCCAGGCTGCCATTGGTCCAATTGACAGGAACCATGACAGAAAATGCAAGAATGGTTATGGGAACAAAAATTTTCAGCCTGCAACGGGAAAAGAATAAAGTCAGTGTAAAAGGACAAAAAAAATAAGGATCCTATGAAGACGGCTTTTTTTTTCTTTTTTTTTTTAATTTCAAACAGAAAACTCTAGTAGCTTGTTTGGAGGATCATTTTCAGGATCGTTTCCAAACTGTTTCTGAAAACTAGAAAGCATCATAGTTGACGTTTTCAGTTGTTTTCACTCAGTTGTTTCCAAATTTTCATAGATGCAAGATAATTGCCACCAAAATGCTATAATCAGCTTGGATCAACAAACAACAAGAAATTCATGCGGAATATTAAATCCACAAAATGACCCTCCAAATACATTGTCTGCTAAATTAGAAAATTATCTTCTACTGTGCTAAAAAAACAAGTAGCTAAACAATATTTGAAAAGTTACCTGCAAATGCCATAGATAACAGCAGTGGATCTAAAAGCTCATGCCACGTATGGCAATGCAAAATTGATTTCAAAAAGATGCAAATATCGATGATGTCAAACAAGTTGACATGGATGCAAAACTCCTATTCTAATTCTTCAACAGTTAGCTTGCATGTGAAACAATCGACTGATATCTCAAAGAAACTGTCACTCTTAATCATAGAATTAAAGTATCGCAGAGGACAACTACACAAGGCACATAAGGGATCCACACAAGCATACCCAATGAGGTAGATCCTCAGGTAAACAGCGGAATCCAGTCCAGCATGATCAATTAGCTCAGGTTCTGGCATCCGTAATGCCTCAGGCATCCAGTTTAGGAATCTCAGATACGATCTGAAATCCAAGTTCACAAATTTGCTCACAAAGGCATCCGTGCGTATTGGGCTGCACCTTAAACCCTTCAAGTACCATTTCGGGAAGTAGACCCTATCATTGAAAGGTTGAATCCGGAGGACAGCAAATACTATGAAGAAAGCAAATGCACTGAGGATGTTGATAGCACAGGCAAGTCCAATATCACTAAGCGAAGCCATAGGTGCACTTCAAAGTAAAGAATGTAAGGTAATTCCCTGAAAGAGAAAAGGAAAATGTAAATACAAATGGTGAACCATTGGCATCGATTAGATAAATTTACAAGATTGAAAAAAGAAGAAGAAAGGAATCTGTGAAGAATTGCCGGCAGAGTATTGAGGCCATTCTCTACTAAGCGGAAATGTTCCTCCATCACGATGAATTGCAATTGGTATGCAGATGATGCAGCTGATTCTCAAAGGTTGAAGTGTGTGCAGTTGCATCATCGACTTAAAAATCAAGCTTGGACATCTTAGTGAGAGATTTGGAGGCCAAAAGCGCACTAAACACATAAAAGCATTGTATACTAAAAAGATGGGCAAATTGGATGGACGCCGAAGAACCTTTGCAAATGCTACGAACAGAAAGGAAATAATCCTCAAGAACGGAACCGTCCACAAAATGACAGCAAGAAGAACATAAGTTTCATCATGGAATTGTAGTAACTTTCACGCGGAAAAATGTCTCCTTGGCATTGCTAATTGGCTGGTAAGACACGCAGAGACTCTACTGCAACATAATGCGCGGCTTAAAGAACTATTCCTCCGTTTGGGTCGCCTAAAAACTGCCGAAATTTGCAGAATCAGAGAAGCGACCAGGCCAAAGAAAATCTTACAGCCACCCGATACATTCCAAACCCACAACGGCACATAATTCCACTTGCCTAAGAAACAAAAAAGCAAACCACGAGAACTTGATTTAGACCTCTAACCGGCTTTCTCTTTCGTTTATCCTAAACAAACGGAGACCCGGGCTCGACAGTCGACATCCACTCTCCGACCACCCTGACACCCACATACGGTCCGGAGCTCAAAACCCAGCAGGAACAGCAAGAAACGCACCCGATTGAGGTATGAGGCGGCAGCAACCAAAAAAAGATTGATCCACAGAGCAGGGTCGGTCGTCAGGTGCGTAGCTAGAGCAGAGAGATGAGATGGGTACCTTGTTGATAATGTAAAGAAGAACAAAAAGAGCAGCGAGAGAGAGAGAGAGAGAGCGCAAATCTAGGCTACCGGGTGGAAGACGAAACGAATGAGAGAAGGGGGAAGTGGCATTATACGTTGGTGTTCTTCGGTAACCCACAGTCGCATTACATCTCGCATTGGCTGCTTTTTGCAGTTTCATTATTATATTTCCATCTTTTGGGAGGGCTAGTCATCGATTTGCTTAATAATTTTATATCACCGCATTCAATCTGCAGAGTAATAAATTAATGGGCAAGAACGGTTTTTGATGTGGTGGGGGGGAGGGGAATTGCTTTTAATGATGCCCCTCTAGAGAGAGAGAGAGATACAGAGAGAGAGAGGGGAGCTGGATAATGGGTGGGTGGTTTGTCGGCAATGGAGGCCATGTGAGAAACGGTGGGAAACAACAGGGGAAGGAGACGAGAGAGGGAGGCGAGGAGGAGAGGACGAGGGGCTAAAATCGTTAACGGCTACTTTCTTGGATGAACTGAATCGTACAGGTGGGGCCGTCGGCGAGGTTCCTTTGACAAATGTGCCCAGATGCTTTGCCTTCGGACACTCTTTTTCGCTTTTGCATGGGATTGACTTTTGGCCTTCGCTGACGGGGACGACATTGTTGTCCGAAAGTCGGGACCGGACAACGACGGTGACGACACTGACGAGTAATTTTTCGATGATTACTTGTGTGTCATAAATTTTTTAACAAACGTTCCTTATAAGTGTCCCCTTTAAGATTTTCAGCACTCGAGTGAAAGTTGTTAAAAAGTTACGGCACTAAAAAATAGTCATGACACTCAAAATTTGTTTTTTGTCAATATGGCACTCAAGTTAATGCGATACAAAAAATAATGTCACTTGTGATGTCCTCATCCGGTAAAAATTTTGTTGAATTGATTAGCGATTTGAGGATATTATACCATTTAAGTTTTATTTATTAGGTGGAGCCGATTGCACACATAAACAAGTTTGAGTATCGAACTAGATCTAGCTAAAAAAACCACAATTTCCTGTTCAACATCATGCACTGTTATTGGTTCTATTTGTCGCATCATTCATTGATCGAGTTTGCATAATAACTTTTTATGTGATTGGAATGGTGCGTCACCGTGAGAAGCCCAAGTAATTGATGCAAGTTGACTAATACGAGACATTGTCCAAAAAGTCCTAAATCTATTGCACTTTGGTTAAATCAATCCCGAACCTTTCAATTTTGTTAATTGAGTCATAAACCTTTTCGCGTTTTGCCAATTAAGTCAATTTGGCTAATTTTAACCGGAAATCGCTGATATGAATGCCAGTAGTGCCACGTTAAACAGTCGGCGCTGACGTGGCTGGGCGAGAGCCGCGATCAGTCAGGGTCAACCAGCTGTCTCCTATGACCAGCGAAGGTTGGCCGGTGACACTTGCCATGCTTGGAAGCAAAAATAAAGAAAAATAAAGAAAGGAAAAAGAGAAGAAAAAAAAATTCAGAATTTTTTTTAAAAAGATTATAAAAATTGTACACATTAGCGTCGGCTATGCCATGTAAGATAGCCAATGTCCATATCAGCGATTTTCAGCTAAGATTGGCCAGATGGACTCAATTGACAAAACGTAAAAAGATTTAAAACTAAATTGACAAAATTAATGGGTTTATGACTGAATTGGCCAAGGTACAATATGTTTAGGACTTTTTGAACAATTTCCCTTGATTAATGACATGTTGTGATTGCAATCTGGATTGAGTTCAGTAAGCACAAATTACTTGAGATGTCAATTGACTACTTCAAATGAAAGAAAAGCATACTCAATCTCAACGGGAAATACACAAAACAGTCTCTTTGTTTTGATATGGAAAAAACCGATTTAACGATATTAGTATTAATGTATAATTATATGTATTATGGGGTATTTATGTAATTATGTTTATATGTGTACCCTTTTTATGGTGGCTCAACCCTAATTAGGGTTGTATGATATGTATTTATAGGAGTGACTAATTACAGAAAGGGTACACATATAAACATAATTACATAAATACCCCATAATACATATAATTATACATTAATAATTAGTTCGTTGCCCGTCTTACAAAATATGATGTAAAATTATTTCGGATAAAATCCTCATTTGTATAAATTGGACCTACCTTTACTGTATGGTTTTGACAGCTGAAAATATTTACTGTAAAAATGTCATCCTAACCATAATGTAAAAAAAAAAAAACAATGAGTTGAGAAAATAATATGGGGAAGAGACGAATGTGAAATTCGGGTATATTTTGATATATATATATATATATATATATATATATATATCTATATAGAGTACACGAGTCTATTTTTAGGCTTTATTAAATGATTATTTAAGGTAATCAATATCTAGATATGCACAATCAAAATTATATATACAGACAATCTTGAGAGATGCGAATAATCAACAGGAATATCATAGTTATCTCCAGCATAGGAAATAACATAAATATCTCTAACATAATGATCGATTTTCGTGTTTATAATATACTATAAGTATAGCATAACGTCCGTTTCTATTTTTTTTTTCCTTCGTTAAGTCAAAACATGCCGGATTATGTCCCCTGCGGCGAAAGGAAGTTGACTCGCTCAAAATTCTCTTGAAGAATCCTTGCGAGGAAAAGGATGTCCGAAATTCGGATCGAACCAGTTTGTCTTTGTAGCTAGACAAGGATTCTAATTCCACGTGTCTATAATTTGGGACATTGCGTGATCTGTCAATTGAATTTGACAGATCATGTTTCTTTAGGCACCATGAAGCTCCCTCGAGCTTGAAAGGGAGGGAATCTTCTGCTTTTGGGCCAATGTTAGATCACATGGTTAAGTTTAATCTTATGGCAATCATCTTTCGGCGGCTCATTTAATTATGTAATGTCTGTTAATTGATCATTCAAATAAATCTTGGTCAACTAATCTTTTTTGGAATGTCCACGTACTTCCTCCACATAAAAGTTTGTTTGCAAAGTGACCCTTATTCTTCTTTGTTAAATCGAGCACAACTGCTTCTCATATCGATAACACTAGAGTTTCACTCTTATAAGCCATGAGCTGCAAAGGAAAGATATTGTGACCGGTATAATGGTATCTCAATTGTGCAATGCAATAAATTTTCTTCTTCTTTTTTTATTTCTTTTTTCTTTTTTGCAGTAGATGCATTTTTTATAAACAAAATAGTAGGTAATTTTCCGACAAACTGCTGACATGACAGTGATACGATTACTCTTAATAACACGGTACTACAAGTTAATCAGAATTTGTCAAGTTTCAAAAATCAAACCACTAGCTTATAATGAATACCGGTATTTATTGTTCTATGCAAATACAAATAGGCTTGCCAAGAGGGTGGATTGAGTCGGCTTTAGACTGGGACATAATTGGTCCGACTTAAATTGACCAATTTAACCCATTTTGACCCGTTTACAAACTTTTCAACCTATACCCGACCCATAACCAACCCCGTCTCGGGATTCATTTTTAGCATTTTCTCTCCTTATATTATTGCCTTTGAAGAATGGATTACTCCATGGACCGGATCATCAAGTTAGTGAGGAAGCTTGGGAGTCGGGTCATGGACGGGGGCATGAAGATAGTGGTGAAAGTCCGACCCGGGCCATCCACAAATCATGAAGTTATTCAAGCTTTAGTTTTAGGTTAAATATAAACGAAATCTTAATATAATGGTTAGCGCCCATTTAATAATACATTAGTTGATGTGATGTTTTTCAATTTTAATTACCAATTATACAGTTCTAATACCTATACACAAGTACACAAATATAAAGTAATGAAGTCGATAATCATAATAATAAACTCATCAAAAGTAAAGAAAATGTAAAAAACAAAGCCCGTTGCTACTCAACTCTAATGTGCCTCCTCTTAGAGGTGAGCGGTTCCAGGTTCGTACAGGTTCCACCTGATACCTGGAACATACCCATGGGAATAGACTCCTCACTTTTTGGGCAGTAAACCCTACCTTACATATCTTAGAATTTGGAACCTATCATGTCACAGGTTCCGGGGTTCCAGGGACTACTCAGATTCCACATGTATTATTAATTGAACAATTGTAGTGAATCGTCATATTTAATAACCATAACTTGCTGCTATGATCCACTGATCACAACTTATATTTAGAGATACAAAGAATATGAAACACTATTAAGTCATAAAATGAAATCTCAGACTAGTGATTCCAGATTATACATTTATTATCTAATGTCATAAAACACCGCAAGATCACGCGAAGACATAGACCAAGAAAAAATATAAAAAAAAATTGTTTAAGTTTCCAGGTTTCAGGTTTCACATACCTAAAACCTAAAACCTACCAGTCGAAACAGGTTCCCTAATTTTTGGAACTTGGAACCTGAAACCTATCATGCATACCTTGAAACCTGAAACTTACAAATTCTCACCAGTTAAATTCTCATATTCTAGTTTCTACTCTGAAACCATGCTCACCCCTATCTCCTCTCACTCCTCTCCTTCATATTCCTCTCCCAGTCAAAGTCTATCACCTTCTTCTACTCCTTCCTCCTCTCCCTCTTCGCTCTCTCTCTAGCGAGAATGGCAACCACGGGTCTCTCTACACTCACCTCCCGCTCTCCATCCTCTTATCCAACCCCTCTCCTCCACTCACCCACTTAAAACGCAGCCATCCGCCCTCCAATTCCCCTTCAAGCCCTGCCCAATCACTCACCTGACGCACCGCGCCACTACCGCCCGCCCCGTCGCCACCATCGAGGCCTTGAGAAGATCAGGAAGCTCGGCAACAGGATCTCTAGCCTCACCCTCGCAGAGGCCCACGTCCTCATGGACTACTTGCAAGAGAAAGTTGGACCTCATTCACCCAGTGGCGGTGGCCATGGTGCCGGGAGCGGGGGAGAGGCGGGAGGGGGCGGCGGCAGAGGAGAAGACGGAGTTCGACGTGTTGATAGACGAGGTGATGAGCTCCACGAGGATAGCGGTGATCAAGGCGGTGAGGGCACTGATGAGCCTAGCACTAAAGGTGGCGAAGGAGATGACCAAGGGCCTGCCAAAAAGTTCTAGGAGGGATGAACCGATTCACAACCCATTTGTTTTGACCTCTTTATTTTGTAAACTCATTATACAAGCCCGAGAAATTTAGTATGACCCATTTAAATGTTTGTGGGTTATTAATAAGTTTTGGAGCCATTTCGACAAATCTGAATACAAATTGGAATGGAGGAAGCTGTTGCTTCAGTTTCAGTCATATCATATGCAAATACGGATGGGAATGAATACTATTTTTCTTCTGTAGGGCCAGGCCTATAGACTGGGCCCAAAAGAGCCGAGCCCAAAAAGTTCCCTAATCGCCCAGCCCGTTTGCAACATGAATCGGTTATATCCAACCGTTGTTTAGCCAGTAGTCAACCCACTAAGCATATGAGAGGTCTTATTTTCACTTTTTGTGCATTTTATGCTTGATATATTTTGAAATGAATAAACCATACGATTAGTTTTTCATAATTTAGAAAAATTAGAAAACTTTTTTCATCCTCGAAATTTTTAAAAGAAAGAGCACATCTTTTCTAAGAGGAGGCGAACATTATGTCCTCTGAAGGAAGCCAAGGGGGAAATCCGGATAGACTTGGTAGAACCCCATTTGTTAGAAACGAGCCTATCTTAAGACCGCCCGCATCTGATGACAGCCACCCCAATAGAGGGAAACCCTAGCTTCCTCCCTCATTTTTATAAACACGTCAGCAAAGCTCATTCCTTGTGGCAGTCGCGGAGTGCTCCTTAGGATCCGTTCCATCTTCGTCCTCAGTCTTCATCTCCTCTGAACAGCTGAGCCTGACCATAATCTAGCAATAGTAAGGTCGTGGATCCTTTGTCATTCCACTGCAATCTGCTGTGATTAAAGATGGTTGGTTAGGGTTTACTGTGTTCTGCTAGTTTCTGTTTCTTGCAATCACTGGCTCGATTGCGCTTCGAAGTAGTTTTTTTACACGTGAAGCTATTGTTGTTTTAGTAGTTTTCATGGGGTCGGAGGTTTCTGAGTTCTGTGACGTTTTTCATGTTCTTTTTAGTTCAGTCTGGTCCTGGTATTGGATCTTGTTTTGGGTTTGGATTGTAATTATCTGAGGAGTGCCTTTTAGCAATTAGGATTTGAATGCTTAGTTTTCTAGTTGGCTAATATTGTCCATGCAGTAGAAATTTGATGTGCTATATTTTTTTATTCTCTTAATGCTGTAATCTGACGAGTAGTTGCAACTTGCAACTGAGATATGGTAATGGCTGTTCTGTGTTCTTTTGTTATTCACTTATTTACGTCGGAACAGGTAAGCCATCATGGGTCGTGTCCGCACCAAGACTGTGAAGAAGTCCTCTCGCCAGGTTATCGAGAGGTACTACTCCCGCATGACTCTGGATTTCCACACGAACAAGAAGATCCTGGAGGAAGTTGCCATCATCCCGTCGAAGAGGCTCCGGAACAAGATCGCGGGGTTCTCCACCCACCTGATGAAGCGCATTCAGAAGGGACCCGTCCGTGGGATCTCGTTGAAGCTGCAGGAGGAAGAGCGTGAGCGGCGCATGGACTTTGTGCCCGACGAATCAGCCATCAAGACCAACGAGATCAAGGTCGACAAGGAGACTCTCGACATGCTCGCTTCTCTCGGCATGTCCGACATTCCTGGGCTCGTCGAGGTTGAGCCACAGGTTATGATGCCTGCCCAGGCTTTCGGCCGCGGTGGACCTGGTAGGAGGTACTGATTGAGGCCATCCAATTCCTCTTTATTCCTATTACTATGGTGAGTTTGTATAGATGCGAGATCCTGCCAGAGTGTTTCCTTCTAGTGATAGTTTTTAATGATTTTTACGAGTTCCATAGTTACTGGGTTGGCATGATTTTAGCGCCTTGTTCTCCCTCTCTTTGTCCTGTTGGTATTGGCATGAAGTTTACTTCATGGCTTACCATATATCAAATCAATTTTTTTCTAACCGAAGAATTTGGTCGTTGTCAAAGGGTGTCGATATCTTTTGAGGTATGCTACTATTTAAATTAGAACTTTAGGTCGATTTTATATTCTCTCTCGCTGGGATTTAGTTAGTGCTCCACCAGCTTTGACTTGCCAATTCATTGATATGTGTTTCAAGTGATGCGATACTTACCACTTGGGACGTTGAATCGTCACTTTTGTGATCGGTTCTCATCGAGGAAGGCATAGAATTATTCAATGTAGTAGAGTTGGGCCTATGTATATTGTGGCTGCGGAGTTCGAATGCCTTGCAGAAGGAGTTGGATCAGTTTATTAATACATCATCATTGAAGAGATTCTTAGAATCTTGTTTCTTCACATTGTGTAGGCTCGTTTAGGACGGATGACCGTCCCAAATAGCTAGATTTTAGCAACGGCTGCTCGACTGTCACTGGTAATCTGAGGGACGGCCCGTCCTGACCCAAAATGATCCGTAAATACCAATATACGCAGCTAGCTTATAGGCCATGGGCGACAATTAGCACACCGTCACTAAAGGGTATTAGTGACGGTAATTTATGCTTTTAGGGACTATTCTGTCCATCATCTGTTGTTTCTTCTTTATCAGCTAAAAGAAATGGAATGAAATCAAAGAACCTTCTCCACAATGCTTAAGTAATGTCAGATGACTTTACATAAATTCTTTCTATCTTCGTAATTCACTATCTCCTCTTAGTTTTTTCAGGTTACTATCATTCTGGTAGGTACTCTCTCTATCACACGGTAATCTTCCAATGTTTTCCAAAGATACTTTGGCTACTCTGTTCAGTGCAATGTCTTTCTTGGGTTTGTACTCGCCTCTTCCCCCAAGCTATCGCTTACAAATTCAATGAAACTCGAGCTGTCAGTACATGGATCCCCAAAGCTTAATTTCAAACTCTTCTTTTGGCACAGTTCAAATAGCTCGGCGACTGGATGCAGTTTGAAGGGCCGGAGAACTTGTTATCGACTCCAATGAGGTTTTAAATACCTACCGCATATGCAGCAGACAAAATCAAATTGGTCAGCAACATGTCCATAGGCTTCATAAGTAGCAAGTCTTCAGACATACACACACAAAGTGGGCCTAAGCGGGCTTTACCCGACCCATTTCGCTCCGACTTTATTTGGTCCTACCCAAGCCCAAGCTGTAACGTTTAGGCTCGTCCATAAAAAAACATGGGCACACCAACCCCGCCCGCATCAGCCATATATAAATATTCTCAAATTATTTATATAAAGATGAAAAATATTAGATCTGTAAATTGGACGAAAACCAAAATGATCACGTACATGCCTAAAATTAAATAAATAAAATAATATTGACAAACTCTATTTCAAAAAAGTTCTAAAATAGCAAAAGAACGGCCACTTGCGTAAAAGATTTGGGCCTAGCCGACGGCCATGATCAAATTTAGCACTTGTGTTCAAATACATTAAATCCAATTGTTATCATAACTCGAGATATTAGAAGCAGATTACACGAGCGAAATTGTTTCGACGAAGCTTGAGAATGATAGCATGAAATTTCTATGAGATTGCAAACTCGTGTTTATACCTTCCAATTAGAAATTACAATCAATGAAGATAGCATGATAGTTGATTAAACGATATCGTTTAGAGCCTTGCGTACGTCAATTTGACCACATGAATGCAATGGATAATGTAGAATTGCTCGTGAATCTGGAACCGTCCATAGAATTTAAGTAACGACATGTGGTTTTTGATATAATATATCACGAAAAGATAGATAAATGTTGAACAAAAAGTGAACTCATCAATTCATACACCACATTTTGCATAGATTAAACTGCTACAAAGTCTCGAATAGGTATGTTAAGTATTGAATTGACGTGCCGTGATTATTTACCTATATTTTAGCATATTTTGTAATCCCCATTACTGAGGGAAAAGTGTCAGAAAAGTCCTAAACCTTTTGTATTTGTGCCAATTTAGTCCTAAACCTTTTGATATTGTGACAATTCAGTTCTTCCGGCTAATTTTGATCGGATTTTGCTGATGTGAACGTCGGCCGGTCTACGTGGCACGGCCGATGCTGACGTGGACAATTTTTAATAATATATTTAATATTTTTTGAATTTTTTTTATTGATTTTCTTTCTTTTTCCTTTTCTCCCTCCTTACTCCGGCGACCGGCCAGAGGCTGGCCACCAGCAAGGCTCACCCTCGCCATGGTTGGGCGAGGCTTGACCTCCCTAGATCCAGAGAGGTGGAGCCTCGCCCAGCCACTAGTGAGGGCGGTCGGCCACAGGCGACGCTGGCCCTCACCAGCAACGGCGAAGGCAAGCCTCGCCATGGCTGGGCGAGGCTCGACCTCGCCAGATCCAGCGAGGTTGAGCCTCGCCTAGCCACTAGCGAGGGCGGCCGGCCATGGGAGAGGCTTGACCTCGCTAGATCCGGCGAGGTTGGGCCTCGCCCAGTCTTTGGCAAGGGCGGCTGGCCATGGGCGACGCTCACCCTCACCAACGACAGCAAAGGCGAGCCTCACCCATGGCTAACCGCCCTCGCCCAGCCATGGCGAGGCTCACCTTCGCCGTCGCTGGCGAGGGCAAGCGTCGCTCATGGCCGGCGAGGCTGCCCTCGTGGCCATCCAGCGAGTAAGAAGGGAGACGAGGAAAAAAAAAGATAAAGAAAGAAAATTAAAAAATTATTTAAATTTGTTCACGTCAGCGCCAGCCGTACCACATAGGCCGGCCAGCGTCCACGTCAGCAAAATCTGGTTAAAATTAGCCAGAATGACTGAATTGGCACAAAAACAAAAGATTTAGGACTTAATTGGTACTAAAAAAAGGTTTATAACTCAATTGGCACCAATGCAAAAAGTTTAGGACTTTTCTGACACTTTTCCCCCATTACTCATGTATCTTTCATGTGGTTAGACAAGATTCATCTTATAAGGTGAGTCATAGATAAGCCAAAGCGACCACATTATCATGGGACGAATTTACATATTAATTGCATTGCATGAGAGCTCGGATCAAAGGCTCAAATCTACTCGGTATACATTGTAACTGTAAGCTCATAATGTCAAAATACTCCTAAACTTAGGTGACCATAAAATTGAAACGAAAGTTCAATGGTTTGATTAAAATACTACTAACCGTAGGTGAGAATACATGGAGTCTACTCGAATCTCTATAGGGTTGACTCTGAATTAGTGGCCTGATTATAATTATAATAATTTTTCTCAAATATTTTATAGAATTTTAAAAAATTATGACTCATTCGGCTAGTAAGGAAAGCTTAGTGTACTATATCTAATTAAATTTTTTCTTCCAAATGGGTTTTGATGTCGACTAAGTGCCCACTTGGTGAAATACCGTCGGTTGATTTTAAATTTTCCATATGACAAAATCTCGTTCAATAGCCATGCGACCCTTCTCACAATAATTACCTCCAAATTATTTATTTGAGTAGACTATATTTGGCGTCAAGAGCTATTTGAACTGATTTGCTATTGATTACACTCAACCTCTCTAATTCATTCCTATTAGCAATCTTTCTTGGTGCCAACCCAACTTCAAAGTATCTGAATTTTCATAGCTAAGGAATTCGAGTCAATCGAAGAAATTAACAGATTGTGGTGAAACCCTATTATCTTCGCGCATCATATATCTAGTAGTTTACAATAGAGCTAATAAGCTGCCCTCCTATGTTCATTGATTTGAGGTATCAAGTACAACATTTGCCCTTGCATGTTTTGCCCGATCGTCAAACAAATTTTTTCATTAGGCTCTTTGAAAATTTCAGGTATATCTATTGTATGTTATCTCTTCGAGTACACAAATTTTGGGTAATTGGTGCAAGTTAAATGCAATCCAATCTAAATTTGATGGTTTAGTAGGGTTGGGAGTTAGGAAGACAGAATGCCGTAAAGGGGTCCTTTCTAGTTTAATTTGAGATTGTTTGCAATTCCATTTGGTTCTATCTTTGTTGAATCCGATTAAATTATGAGCTAAAAATACGGAATGGAAGGATCTTAGATCTTCTAATTCGTTTCTCCTGTCACATGCATCTTTTCCTGGGAGATTACATAAGGTTCTTAGCTCCTTTGCCCAATTGATGGTATGTATTCTGAAGAATGAAAAACTAGCTAGTATGTAAGTAACATGTTTTACTCATACGTTAAAGCAATTGAGCTGACTCAAAACACGCTCCATGTCCCAATAGCGGCTAGCCTATAGGTGACAAGGCAACGGTTAGTTCACCGTCCCTAGCACACCCTCCTATAGAGTATTCAAGACAATAATTTATGTAAATAAGGACCAGTAAACAAGGATGATCCTGGCCGTTGTCTGTTTTATTGTAGCGAAAAGAAATGAAGTGAGATCTATCAACTTCACGTAAATTCGTTTTTATCATCATGATTCAGTGCATCTTTTAGTTTATTTAAACCACTGTCATCTTCATGGGTATTCTCTCCCTCGCCAAGGAATCTTCCAATGTTCTCTAAAGCATCTTTGGCTGCTCTGTTTAGCGCAATGTCCTTCTTGGCTTTGTACATGCCTCTTCCCACGAGCTGATCGTTTGCGAATACAATGAAACTTGAGCTTTCACTCCACAGATCCACAAATCTCAACTTCAAACCCTTCTTCTGGCACAGTTCGTATAGCTCGGTGACTGGATGCACTTTGAGAGCCGAAGGACTAATTATTGGCTCCAACAAGCTTTGAAATACCTACCACATATGCAGGCAGCACCAGATTGGTTAGCAACATTTTCATGGGCTTCACAAATAGTAACTCTTAAAACACAAAAAACAGCTTGGATTAACAAAATAAAAATGAATATTAAAAAAAAAAATTTATATTAGATGAGCAAAGATTGGGTGGGCCTAAGCGAGCCGGATCAGACCCATTCATCCCCAAATTTATGTGGTCCTACCAGGCCCAAGGTCGAACGTCCATGGTCGTCCATAGAAAACACCGGCTTGCCAACCTCGCCCACACGGGTCAAATGTAGATATTTTCGAACTTATTTATATTAAGTTGAAAAATAGTATATCAGTAAAAAAATACATAAAGTAAAATAATCATGTATAAGTCTAAAATTAAATAAGTAAAATAAGAACGACAAATTTTACTTCCAATAAGCTCTCGAATAGCACAAGCCCGGCCCGCCCACTCGCATAAAAAAATTCGGGCCTAACCCGCCCATGACCGTGATCAATTTTAGTGCGGGTTCTTATGTACACTAATTCCTATTGTTATCATAAGCTCCAGATATCAGAACTTTAAAGCAAATGAATAAGTTTTTTTGGACAAAGCTTGTGAACGAGAGCATGAAAGTGATACGAGAGATTAGAATTTGTATTCATATACCTTCCACACAGTGTCCAGTGAGAAATTGCAATCGATGAAGACGGCACCGATGGTCGATTCCACAACATTGGCCAAAGCCTTGGGCACGTCGATTAGGCCATTGGAATGTACTGGGTAATCTAGAATCGCTCTTTCGAATGCTTGAATCTGGGACACATCCACAGAATTTAATTGACACATAGGTTTTGGTTCAATGTATCAACAAAAGGAAACATACATGTAAAATCTATCCATAGGCAAATTTCACATAAATTAGACTCATTGAGTCTCGAATAATGTCTAGTATTGACTTGGTACGTTTCTCATCGCGTTCGATGACCACATTTTAAGCTATTTAATATAATGAATAGAGATTAGAACGAGTTGACGTGCTTGATAGGATATAAATCGTTTCAGATTCGGTCAAGATCACAGGATTAGTGCCTAATTACGTTGATTATATCTCCCTTTTTAGGATATTTCGTAATCCCCATAATCATTATGATGATTAGCAACTTACTTGATCTTCAAAAACAGGCATCCTATGACGCAGATAGCGATGCAACCCGTGCTTGATCGCCACGCGTGCAAGCTTCTCGGTGTCCACGTTGGCGGCTCGGAGCCGGGTCAGTGACCCGGGCGGCAAGTCCGGGTATCGGAAGTACTGTTCCTTGGCGAACAACAAATTGAGCACCGAATCGCCGACGTACTCCAGCCTTTCGCAGCAAAATGACTTGTCAGCAAACGAATGATGAGTAAGGGCTTCCTCGAGCAATCTTTTGGCATTGAACTTGTATCCCAAGATCTCCTCGACATCGTCAAGGCTCGGTCTGCTCTCGACATGAGTCGGCTCGGGTTCGGAATCGCCTTCTCCCCAGTGTATGTCGAGCTCTCCCATTTCAATGATACGGGCTTCCTCTTGTTCATCCACCTCATGATCAGAAAGCGATTTCTCTTCTTTTGAAGCTTCCATGGCGAACAAAATCAAAATTTCATATGAAGCGGTTATTGGTGGAGGAACTTTTCGAGAATTGTTGCGAACATATATGTGAAGAGTAGAGAGCAAGAAGGTTGACTTTTATTGGCTCATTTTTTGATTTATAAGGAAATTATAATCCGCTAATTTAATCACGTCAGTAATATATTTTTGATGCTTGAAATTTTTCCTCTTTAAGGGGTTATTGGTAAATCTCCTTCAAATTTATTTCTCCTCTGCTTATTATGTTATTAAATATCATGTCTTAGCATCCATTCTTAAATGGGCACAAAAAAAAGTTTATCCTCGCATTTATTTTTTTACTCGAGAAACCATATCCTAGAACTTTCCCCGATCCCCTTTTTTTTTACATTTAAATAAATGCAAAAATTTTCCTTTAAAATATAAAATACTATTCAAATTCAGAAAATTTTAAGTGTATATATATATACGTGTTGTTGTGAAAGTTTCTGAAAAAATCAGAATTATAAAAATCGAAGTGGTCGAGCAACATGATTGATGTTAAGCAATAATTAAAAGTCAATCCGAACAGGCTTTCGAAAACTAAGCAGCTGTTTAAATACTTTCAAAAGTAACAAGATTACCTTATTCGTAGCATGAAATATGGAAACAAAAATCTTCTATCCACTTATGTTCTTTCGGACGGTAAATAAATTTTAAGTCGGGTTTAGTACTTTTGGTATTAATTTGCTTTTTTTTCTGGCTAAATTTTTTTCTTGCCACGTATCACGTAATTTCCACGTAGAAGAGATGCATCACGTATCACGTAATTTTCACGAATGTTTTTTTTTTTCCATCGAAGGTCCGATTCGACACTGGAAGGAAGAAGTCCGGTCGAGCCAAGAGACTTCCAAAAAGAGAGAAAGGCACCGCCATCCAATGTCGGACTATCTTTCAAGGAAGACGATGCACTTTTTTTTTTTTCACGATTTCCATTGCAGTTGGCCCGTTATCGACAGTTCGCACTTTGCTCGTGATTGACAGTGACGCTACATTACACCTTTTTGAATACTGAAAGGCTTGTAGTCTGCATCAGAAGCTTCGTCGATGGCCCCCGCGACGGCGACGCTGCCGAGTTCAGGTAAAAACGCCATTCCCATCCACTTCTCACACGAGACACACGACAGCATCCATTTATACATATAAACACATCAAGAGGAAGGAACAGTGACCCGCACAGATTCACAAAGGAGCAAGAAGATCTGGGTGTGGTGTAGTTTCTTTCTTCTCTCTTCTCTGCATGTTTTCGTCGGCCATTTCTGATAAGTTTCGATCGGAAATGAGTGTGTTCTTGACGTGTGAGTAGATTTGGATTCCTGAGAAATTTTTTGTCGCAAAATTTAGATTAAGCGAAAAAGAAGATAAAAAAGTAAAAGTCTATCTAGGCGTGCCTACTATATTTTGGGCTAGAATAGACCTTACTCAAGCTAGATCAAGTCAAATGGAGGTTTGAAATTAGGTGTCTAGTCCGAAACCATCCTATTTTATCTTGGTGCCCCGTTGTTAGAAATGATAAAAGTTGATTTTGGTTGAAGAGAAAAATTTCTAAGTTGGCTTCTTTGAACCGCCAATGAAGAGTTTGGGTCAAAGTAGGACTTCTTTTAGCCACATGAAATAGACAAGGGGGCCCACATTTTAGACTTTGAAATGATAAGGGAAAGCCAAACTGGCTTGCCGCTCTCTGTCAGTCGGCAATCTTCCCTTTCACATTGAAGTCAGTCGGACTTCAAGAGGCGGTGATGCATACATGTAAATATTAGTAAGAGTTTGTTTAGTGAGTGGAGCATAGAGAGAGAGACAGAGAGAGTTTAGCTTAGAGAAAAGCTTGTAAGAGTGTGGTGTATTTTCAGTGTGAAGCTTACGCAAAAGGCATTTTGAAAATGGGAAAATGAGATAAAAGTCCATGCCCAATGTACAATGTAGTTTCAAAACTTTTAATTTGTTTAATGTGATTTCTGAACTTTAACCCAATGTGCAATGCCGTCCCTAAACTTTCAATTTGTTCAATGTGGTTCATGAGCTTTTGATACCTGTTCAATCTAGTCTCTGGACTAGGTATCCACGTAGTCATTTTCTAGGCTAAATTGATCGAAATGACTAAATTGGCAAATCGTCAATATGTTTAGGACCGAATTGGCAAAATTAAAAGATTTAGAAATGAATTGGCCGTCGTACAATAGATTTAAGATTTTTTGGACAATTTTCCCCACCCCTCACTAATTCATTCCTATTAGCATTCTTTCTTGCTCATAACTCAACTTTAAAGTTATAAAAAATCAATGCAGATCCTCTCTTGTGTACAATGATATGATTACTCTTTCATAACATGGTACTCCAAATTAATTTATCAAAATTCAAAATTCAAACCAATCGCTTACTATGAAGACCAACCCTGATAATGACGTCAACTGATTAGTACTATTTCAGGATTAGAGTACGTAGGTGAAAGAATACTGATTATGAAATTAGTTGATGACATTCATAAAGCTCGTTGTCATGTCGTGCAAAGCGCATGCTCATGTTGTGATTACACCTTGTGCTAACGGAGTTGGAGGCGACGGCATGGGTGAGAGAAACAGAAGCGGATGGCATTAGTCGTGCGAGACAATCGTGAGCTGAGAGAATAGGTTCGAGAGCCAAAGGAATTGATGAGCATATGTTGCAAAGGTGGCAATGCATTGGTCTAAGAGATGAGAAGATAAAGGGGAGAGAAATGAAAGAATAGGGCGGCGGGTGACGGCCTAGCCTGTTGGCACAACCGCGGCGTTCTCTCATAAGAAAACAGAGAGCTTCAAGCGGGAGACAAAGTGAAATCAATTTTTTGATGTGGGACTCTCTAACACAACTTATATCTCTTTCTCATCAAACTTGTGCTTTTCGATCCTACGGATACACGCAAATTTGTACATACATGTATAAGTTGGCATATTCAAATGTTTCGCATATTTTCAAAGGAAAATAAAACAAAAGGACAATTGCAATAAAAATAAATATAGTTCATAGACTGAACATGGTAGTTTGGTCGAAAAATTAACCAGAGTTGTCGCAAGCAGTTATTTTTCCCTTGCCGAGAGATTAGGACAATTGTATTGTTCTCGCATTGAGGAAAATGTATGTAAAGAGAAAGGCTAAAATTTTGACGTTTGAGTCTCTAAAATTACTCATGGCCACAGTTTAAGAGTTATCGTGTTACAATCTCTACAAGTCCCATTTGCGAACCTTCCTAACTCGGCAATATGTGGCTCACTATGCTGGTCCACCCTCCCTATTCAAGGAACCAAATTATGTTTTAAACGTGCATTGTGTGAGCTATGCCTAATAAGATGCGCCGGTATTATTGGATTTTTGCAGCGTAAATCTCATAACTTGGCGAAATGGAACAATGGGATTCCAGTTTGGGCTATGTAATATCTTTTCACGAAAATATGCATGTGATATTTTGATTTCCCCTTTGTTTTCCATGCTTTCCTTGATTTTTCATTATTGATTTGGTTGGTCGAGATGCATTATTTTTAGTTGCTAGACAGTTATACCCACACCACCATCCATCTTGTAGGTTGCAGGGAAAACTTGTCCAAAAAGTCAAAAACCAATTGTACGGTATTCATTTAGTCTTAAACATTTTGACGATTTACCAATTTAATCATAAACTTTTTTACGATTTGCTAATATAATCCTTTTGACCAATTATATAAATAATAGGTTTTGAACTATATTGGTAAATTTTCAAAATATTTATGATTAAATTGACACAATTGAATGGTTTAGGACTAAATTGGCAAATCGTCAAAAAGTTTAGGATTAAATTGGCACATTTGAGAGATTTATGACTAAATTGGTCATCGTAAAATACGATTAGGACTTTTTGAACAATTATCCCATTCAACTAGAGTCCAATTGAGCACAAAGGAGCTTACTCTAGGAAGTTAGGCATGAAATGAACCGGTACAGATATGTATTTGAATTTCCATAGCTATGGAATTCCAGTCAGTTGAAGAAATTAACAAATTGTGGCGAACCCCTATTATCTTCGCACATCATATATCTAGTAGTTTACAATAGAGCTGGTAGGCTTCCTGCTATGTTGATTGATTTGAGGTTTCAAGTATAACATCTGCTCTAGTATGTCATGCCCAGTTCATTAGGCCCTTTTAAATTTTGCATATATCTAATCTATGTTATATATCCAAAAAAAACCTTTTACATCATGGTCAAGTACACAACCTGATTAAGGGTAATTGGTGCAAGTTCAATGCAATCCAATCTAGATTTGATGGTTTATTAGGGTTGGAAGTTTGGAAGACAATGTATTGTAAAAGGGTCCTTTCTAGTTCATTTGAGATTGTTTGCATTTCCATTTTTTGTAACTATCTGTGTTGAATCCGATTAAATTACAAGCTAACAGATATTCTAGTTCGTTTCTCCTGTCACATGCATCTTTTCCTTGGAGATGACACAAGGTTCTTAGTTATTATGCCTGATTTATAGTATATACTCCGAGGAATAAAAGCTAGTCTATAACTTGTCGTAGGGGTGAGCATGGTCCGGGTGAGCGGTTCCCACCCCGGAACCATGGACCGCCAGCTAAGGATCGGTTCCAAAAAATTGGAACCGAGAACAGCCCGTTGGTTCTATGGACTCACCCGAGAACCGAACCGCCGGTCCGGTCCGGTTCCCGGGTGGGTCCATGGAACCAGTCCCACTAAGTTTTCTTGGACAAATCAAAAAATGGACTAGTCTAATTCTTACCCATTGGTGGGTTGTGTTCACCACATGCTACTTTGACTTACCTTAATGCACATGTGTGATGTATCTTCAGTGTACACAGAACACCCCTACTTTGGCATTTGGTTTCACTAGTCTGATGCAGAAGTCATGCACTTCCATCTAAAATGGTCTGATGCAGAACTACCCTCTATAACTTTCCAAACTTCTACAAAACCTGCTCAAGCCTCAAGAGTCAAGAGGCTCTCATTTAAGCTAACAAATTGAATGAGCCTAAAACCCTCAGAAACAATGACAACATGATTTCCCACAAAGTTCAATTACACATCACAACAAGATTCATCACAAAGTTCACAACTTCACAAGCTTCACATCAAATACATCCGTAGTCTATATTATGTATCACACGTGGGAATTTGCCACAAGTTCACAATAGTCAGCAAGCAAACAAAACAACAACTCTCCTATTTTCTTTTTATTTTTTTATTTTTTTGGTCATATTTTTTAATTAAAAATTAAAAAATAAATATATTATTATTATATTACCGGTTCAGTCCGGGTGGGCGGGTGGGCGGTTCCACACCGGGAACCGGGAACCGGACCGGTACCCACCGATTCCAAAAAATTGGAACCGGGAACCGAACTGGTTCCGGTCCCATTCCGGGCAGTCCCGGGCGGTCCGTGCGGATCCCGGTTCTTTTGCATACCCCTAACTTGTCGTAGTCAAATGTTAAATAAATTCAACTAACTCAAAACAGTCCCTAAATACCCATAGCGGCTAGCCTATAGGTGACAACAGGTAATGGTTAGCTCACCATCCCTAGCACTAGATCCGTTAAACGGGTGGATCGGGACGGGTCAGGTCGATAACGGTCCAACTCAAATTGACCCGTTTAGACTGTTTTAACCCATTAACATGCAGTATAAATTTAGTGACATATACTTAACCCAACTTATATTGCTAAAACACTTCCATATTTAACCAAATCTAGGAAAATTTGCTTCTTATAAATTTTTAAAAAAATTATATTACTAGAGTACTACCATGCAATACAATCCAGTGGACAATTTCTTATAGTTTTAAAAAGTATTTCTAAATTTTTATATCCTTTTCTTTTTCTTTTTCTTTTTCTTTTTTTTTTCTTTTAAGTCTAGCGAGGGGTCGCCCAGATCTAGTGAGGGCTGTGAAGCCCTCGCCAACAGCAGGTGAGGCGCCAACAGCAGGTGAGGGTCGCGGCCCTCGCACAATGGCCGTCTGGGCAAGGGCCGCAACCCTCGCCCACTGTCAGCGAGGGCCTAGACCCTTGCCGGACTTCATAAAAAAATTAAAACAAAAAAAAATTATAAAGATTATAAATACTATCTTGACATCTCCAACTCCACGGTGTTTTATTTACTACTAGATACGGGTGAAAAGATTTCTATTTTTCATATGAGTTTGAAATGGGTTATATATCAACCTATTTATGACCCTTAAAAAAAACCATTTATGATCAACTGAAGCTGTTTTTAAAACTTGAGACAACCCATTTATAACATACACCATTAAATATGGTTCTAGACCCATTCTGCCACCTCTACCTAGCACACAGGGCGAAAGGGTATTCGAGACAATATTTTATGTAAATAAGGAAGATCCTGGCCGTTCACCCATTGCATGTTTTATGGTCGCGAAAAGAAATAAAATGAGATCTATCGAGTTCAAATAGATTGCTTTTATCATCACAATTCATTACATCTTTTTAGTTTTTTCAAATCACTATCATCTTCATAGGTTTTTTCTCCCTCGCCAAGGAATCTTCCAATGTTCTCTACAGCATCTTTGGCTGCTCTATTGAGCGCAATGTCCTTCTTGGCTTTGTACGTGCCTCTTCCCACAAGCTGATCGTTCACGAATACAATGAAACTTGAGCTTTCACTCCACAAATCCACAAATCTCAACTTCAAGCTCTTCTTCTGGCACAATTCGTATAGCTCGGTGACTGGATGCAGTTTGAGCGCTGAAGGACTAATTATTGGCTCCAACAAGCTTTTAAATACCTACCACATATGCAGACAACATCAAATTGCTTAGCAACATTTTCTTGGGCTTCACAAGTAGCAAATCTTAAATCACAGAAAACATGGATTAACAAAAAGAAAATTGAATTTTAATTTTTTTTATAAGCTTGCACTATTTACATCCCCTTATTAGTTCATTACTTTCCCTTATCATGTTGATTTGACTACAATATTTCTTAAGGGTTCCACTCTTGATATAAGATTTTTTTGTTACCTTTTTTTTTCTTTTTCTTTTGTTTCAAATTTATTAAAAGACAAAACTACTCACGTTCCTTTCGAACAACTTTATTTTCACTCTAGCCTCTTCTTCCACAACCATTACATTTTAACGTCCTTCATGTTTGTTTGCTTTTAAACTTATTCTGCCAATTATTAATCGTCATAATGGTCAATTTTTTGACTTCGATTTTCGATACAAATTTACAAGAATTTACTCAAATATTGAATATTGTGGTTGATGAATGAATTACACAATTTACTTATCATCATTGTATTGTTTTTGTAGTGTAGTCACTATGGAAGATAATATTGACGAGGACCCAAATTGCTTAAATATATTTATTGTTGATGAAACTGCGAACGGAGAACATCAATCAATCATGTCAACAAGTTCATTGGAGCTTCTTGCACTATAACATTGAAAATTATTATTTGATATATATTATTTCAAGTGAATAATGACTCTCTTATCGATGTAATTATAAAAAATTATTGTCTAATCAAGTAAAATATTTTTTTTAGAGAGAGTAACCTTTTCTAGGGGACCCAAGCAGTTGAAGAGATAATATCTTTTGTTAAGTTGCACATGCAACTTGTTATTTTTTAGTACATTTGTATTTTGAGCATAATTTTATTTTCATTGATAGTTCTATGAAAATTATGATGCATTTAGAATTGACAAAAAAAAATGTGTTTGCAAATGGTTTGAATGGGTTGTCTTCTAATGCCATTATAATTGCCATAATCTTATCAAATTATACCACGTATAATTAGCTGTTTTAGGGAGCATATTTTTTTACATTTCCATGATAATAATGGATGTCTAGAGTTTTTGATGTACTTAACTTTGTCATATTTTTAATTTTTTCTGAAGGTATCTATTAAATATCATGCAATGATGGCATCAAAAATAATTAAAAATTGGACTATTAGATTCACTTAGTAAAATGAAAGTAAAGCAGTCAAAATACGCAAACTACAACGCAATGACACAAATCAAAGTTATAACTAAATGAAATGTCTACTCAAACTGATAGATGGTTTTTGTTACTCTTACTTGTGCTTAAATTTTTTTTTTTAAATAGTTTCCTAGTGCAAAAAAAGAGAATATATAACTCATGAACATAATTATTAGTAAGCTATCCACTAAATAAACTATTTTAAAAAAAGAGGGACACCAATTTTGTTCCAAATGGAGAAAGAAAAGGAAAAAAGGCAAGAAATAATCTTAAATCAATAGTAGGAACCACATTTAACCTTAATATATGTCATTTGAGAGGATCATGGGTAGTTTTGTCTCTAGTCAAATTGAAACAAAAGAAAAAGAAGACAAAAAAGGTATGAATCATCTTAAATTAAGAGTGAGACTTGTAAAGGATAATGTAGTCAATTCAATGTGATGGGGGATGTTAGGAGTTAATAAGCGGGTGGAAATAGCATGAGCATTTTTTATAATAGACGAGAAAAGATTGGGTGGGCCTAAGCAAGCCCAATCAAACCAATTCAGTTCCAACTTTATATGGTCTTACCAGACCTAAGCTCAAAAGTAATGACCCGTCCATAGAAAACACGGGCATGCAAATCCCGCCCACACAGGCCAAATGTAGATATTTCGAACTTATTTATATAAAGTTGAAAAATAGTAGATCAGTAAAAAGTATAAAGAAGCAAATAATCATGTATAAGTCTAAAATTAAATAAGTAAAATAAGACCGACAAACACTACTTTAGAAAAGCTATAGAATAGCACAAGCCCGGCCCGCCCCACTCGCGTAAAAACATTCGGGCCTAACCCGCCCACAGCCATGATCAATTTCTGGTACGAATTCTTATGTACACTAATTCCGATTGTTATCATAAGCTCAAGATATTAGAAGCAAGTAAATTGAGCGAAGTTTTTTCGACAAAGCTTGAGAATGAGAGCATGAAAGTGTGATACGAGATTAGAATTTGCATTCATACCTTCCACACAGTGTCCAGTGAGAAATTGCAATCAACGAAGACGGCACCGATGGTTGATTCAACAATATCGGCTAGAGCCTTGGGCACGTCGATTAGCCCACTTGAATGCACTGGATAATCTAGAATCGCTCTTTTGAATTCTTGAATCTGGGACACATCCATAGAATTTAATTGACATATGGTTTTGATTCAACATATCAACAAAAGGAAACATATATACGCGTAAAACAAAAGGTTAGAGCCTTGGGCACGTCAATTACACCACTCGCGTGCTATGGGATAATCTAGAATCGCTCTTTTGAATTCTTGAATCTGGGACACATCCGTAGAATTATATTGACAAATATGATTTTGATTCAACATATCGACAGAAGAAACATACGTGGAAAACAAGAAAAGGATGAGTCATCTATCCATACACAGATTTCACATAGATTAAACTGCGCATTAAGCATTGACTTGGCTTCTCGTCAAGTTCGTTGACCACGTTTTCAGCTATTTAATACAATCAATAGAGAACGGAAACCCGGTGATGTGCCTAATAGGAAAAAATTCGTTTGAGATTCGGTCGAGATTACGGGATTTTATTGCCTAATTATGCTGATTATTCTCCCTTTTTAGGATATTTCGTAATCCCCATAACATTAATCATCATGATTAGGAATGATCTGAAGGAACACAGTTCGGAAAAGATCGAAAGATGTGCAACTTACTTGTTCCTCGAAAACAGGCTTCCTATGACGCAGATAGCGATGTAACCCGTGCTTGATCGCGACGCGCGCGAGCTTCTCGGTGTCCACGTTGGCGGCCCGGAGCCGGGTCAGCGACCCGGGCGGCAAGTCCGGGTACCGGAAGTACTGCTCCTTGGCGAACAGGAGATTGAGCACCGAGTCGCCGACGTACTCCAGCCTCTCGTAGCAGAACGTCTTGTCGGCGAACGAATAATGGGTGAGGGCTTCCTCGAGCAGCCTCTTGTCGCCGAACTCGTACCGCAAGATCCCCTCCACCTCGTCCAGGCTCGGTCGGCTCTCGACGTGGGCCGACTCGGGTTCGGGATCGCCTTCTCTCCGGCCTATGTCGAGCTCTCCCAATTCACCGACAAGCGCTTCCTCCTCCTCCTCGTGATCAGAAAGCGATTCTACTTCTTCTTGTTCTTCCATGGCGGGCGAGCGAGATCGATTCATCAACAAACTCCGGAATTCGAAACGGTGGAAAGGGACTGCGCCGACGCGTGCAGGTTATACGAAGGGGATCGTTGGCGTGCGAGCTTTCCCGGAATTTGTTGCGAACATATATAAAGAGTAGAGAGCACGAAAGTTGACTTTTTTGGGAAAAGTCGTGTTTTTACGAGGAAACCGTGATCGGTTGATTTAACCACGTCGGCGTTTTTTTTAATGCTTGAATTTTTTTTGCACTTTATTAGTTCGTTATTGGTAAATATCCTAAACTTTTATTTTTTTTTCCTCTGGTTATTATGTTATTAAATCTCACGTCTTAGCAACTAACCTTGACCGGGCCAAAGAAAAAGTCTGTTCTTGCGATTTATTTTTTTTTAACTCGGGGATAATTTCCTAGAACTTCCCCTAATCCTGTTCGTTTACGTTTAAGTAAAAGCAAAAAGTTCCCGAAATTATAAATATATAATTGTGAATTTACGTGTCGATATTTGAGTGTTGTGGATGATTCTGAAAAAATCAGATCTATAAAATTCGAAGTGCTCGAGCAACGCGATTGATATTAAGCAATAGTTAAAAGTCAAATCTTTCAGAAACGCAAGCAACTCTTTAATTCTTTCAAAAGTAGGCCTAATTTCAAATGTTTCGGTCAGAATTGAGCAACAATTATGGCTCCGAACTTTATTTTGTCTCATAAAAAATTATCAACTTTCACTTAAATCTCAAATCTGATCCGAACAATTTGAAAATTTCACATCATGGGACTAAAGTAAAAGTTGGTGCTTTTTATCGAGGCAAAAAAAAAATTTGAGCCTGAATTATCACTCAAGGTAAAGTTTGTGCTTTTTTTTTTGAATCAGCCCTTCAAAAGTAATGAGACTATCTAATTCGTAACATGAATTATGAAAAGAAAAACGTGTTTCCCAAATCATGTTCTTTCGGACAGTAAATATTATTTTAAGTCGGTTTTAGTACTTTCGGTATTGATCTTCTTTCGAACGTTTCTGTCTGGCCAAATTCAAACTTGCGGGCGTTTTTTTGCTGGTGATTAGACTACGTTAATTACTTTCCACGTAGCTGTGGATGGGTCGTGGGATCGATTAGCTATCTTTACTCGTGTATAGTTCTTTGACTGATTCGTGATTCTTATTGACGATTACGCGGTTTAGTTTATAGCGAAGAAGCAATAAATGATGCCAACTCCCTTATGCTGACAAACGGTTGGATGGCAATGTTCATGCATGTGATGCCATTTAGATGTACTAATACTGGCAAGTGGGCAATGTTCTCTTTTTTTTTTTTTGGGGTCGGAGCAAGTGGGCAATGTTCATTCATTCTTAAATTGAGGACTATTTGGAGAATAGGGAAAAGAGGAAAAAAAAGAGAGAAGAAGAAAGAAACAAGGGAGGAGCTTAATCTACGATTTTCATGTAGAAGAGATATACCACGTAGGTCGTGCTGCGCAATATTGATTCAAAGAGATGTATAGCGTAATTTTCGCGAATGTCTTTTTTTTCCATCGAAGGTCCAATTCCACATGGAAATGAAAAAGTCCAGTCGTGTAAAGAGACTTCCCAAAAGAGAGAAAGGACCGCCATTCAATACGGGATTACCTGCCAATAGGCATGCAGCCCCCGGTAAGGAGATTGGGGGTGGGGGGTGGGCCGGAAAGTAGCAGGTTAGGAATTCAATCCCCGAGAGCACCACGCATATACATATACATATACATATACATATACATAGAAGAAAATGAGTAAGACCCGAAAAACGAAAAAACATATCGGACTATCTTTTAAGGAAGACGGTGCACTTTCTATACGATTGTCTTTTTGGCTTTGAAATGTGGAGGGAGATCATATTTTTCAAGTTGACCGGCCGGATTGTTCGCCCGTGATTGACTGTGATAACTACGTTACGTCTTTTTCTAACACGGAAAGGGTCGTCGTCTTCTTCGTCAGAAAGTTTCATGTCAACTTCACACGCGACAACAACCATTTCATATATAATAAAGAAGCACAGAGGAATTGCAAGATCTTTCTTCTCTCTTCTCTGTTTGTTTCTTTTTGTAATTGACGTGTCAATATTTATATGTTGCGAAGTTTCGGGTGTTGCGGATGAATTTTAGATTATGTAAAAAAAAATTTTAAAAAAAAATCTATCCAAACCCGCTCAGTATGTTTTGGGCTGGATCAAATTTTTAGACTTCATATCTGGATGAAAAGAGATTTTCGGGAAACTTGAAAACGAATTCAGAGCAGAGGATCTTCACCCGTACGAATACTGATCTGCGTATTTCGATTAAGCATGTGTAAATTTATATAAAATATTATGTGTAAATTTACGTGCCAATATTTATAGGGACAATGACACAAACAGTCCCTGAACTTTGGTTCAATGTGCAATTTGATCCTTGAACTTTTAATTTGTTTAATGTAGTCCCTGAACTTTAGCCTAATGTTTAATGTGGTCCATGAACTTTTAATTTATTCAATGTGGTCCAGAATTTTTGATATATGTTCAATTTAGTCCATAAACTATATTAAAATGTACAATATAGTCCATGCACTTGAATTAATGACTATATTTAATATGTACCAAAAGTTTATGGATCACATTGAACAAATTGAAAGTTCATGGATTACATTAAACAAATTAAAAGTTCAGGGACTAAATTGCATATTGAGTTAAAGTTCAGGAACTCTTTGTGTCATTTTCTTAAATTTTTATATTGTGAAAGTTTCGGAAGCTCCGGATACGAGGAATTTTTTGTCACAAAATTTAGATTAAGCATGAATAAACAAAAAAGTAAAAAGTACATCCAAACATGCCCGCTGTGTCTTGGGCTGATTAAACCTTGCTTTGGCTCAATCGAGTCGGGTTGAGCTTTGAAATTAGATGTCTTAATTAGTCCCAAGCCATCCGATTTTATCTTGGTGCCCCCATTGCTTCGGATGATTACGGGGCTTCCTAGTCCACGATTAGATCTAAGTCCGATTAGATGTTATCGGGCCTATTTGTATTTGTATGGAGCTTGCCATACCCATGGCCCTCAATCGGGTCTTGGAGGGTAACTGAATCCGCCCAAAATGAGGGGAGACTTGGTTGAGCCCATCCGACCCTCACCTTTTCTTTTCTTTTCTTTTCTTTTTTTCTTTTTTTCGGGTTAACACAAGGTACAAACTAAGTAAATTAAAGTCCAAAGTCTTCAATCCCAACTTTATTACTAAACAAAACGTGAGATGATTCTCTGAGAGGCTCCAAGTAGAACGTAGAACCCAATTGCTTCGCTACATTAATATTGGCAAGTCTATCAACAGGCTTATTGCCTTCCAGAAAAATATGATGTATTTTGAACTCAAAATGAGAGTCCATGAGTCTCTTGATATCTTTAAGTAGTGTCGATCTAGTGTTATCTTCTATACTCTTTTGGTTAATAAGTTCGGTGATGATTTGTTAATCCATCTCAATGATGAGCTTATGAAAACCTTGTTGATTTGCAATGGTAAGTCCCAACCATAGCGCCCATAGTTCTCTGCTTGTGAAGACAAACATAGTATAAGAAATGAGGTAAAACTACCAAACCAGTCACCCCATTCATTTTGGAGTAATCCTTCTCCGACTCCTGCAAGTCCATGATTACCTCTAAACGTGATCCACATTTAGATAAGTTGATCGTGGGCGAAGCTATGATTTCCTTTGTGTGTGATTGGATTATTTGTATAGGGTTGGAAGGAACAACAAAACTTTCTTGAAAAAGTGACTTGTTTCGCCATAGCCAAAAATCCCATATACTCATCAAAACTAGTACTCCAATCATAGTGGGAGTTGCCTCTCCCGTGTTGGATTTCAACCATTCAGATAAGTTCATTGAGAAAAACTCTTCAAGACAATGTTGTGGATGAGGTCAACCCATATGTTCCAAAAAACTGGACAATTCCACAAAACATGTAAAGTTGTTTCCACTAAAGACTCACATCGCAGACAATAAGGATTACCACCAAGATTGTGAGACCCGTGATCACCTTTTAAACCCACAACAAAATTTAATACAAGGATTCCAAAAGATTAAAAAGAAAAAAATCAAATCTTGACTGAGCAGTATCTACTACTATCGAGATGCCACATGCCTTGTTACATGATGAATCGGTTCGTGATGGCCAATCACAGTGCAACGAAAGTTGCCTCACTTCTATTTAATGAAATTTCCTATATTGTTTCATCGCGAAAAATCTCGTTAGACCATCCGAGTTTTGAAAAATGTCTCTTAAGTAACATGCGACTTGAAGAACATAATCAGGTATGGATTCTTACACCCACCCTTTTTATTATATAAGAATGAAGGTACTCGCTCAACATCCTTTGTTCTCTTTGACTAAAACCCTCATTTTTTCTTGGGTTGTAGTGTAAACAGTATGTGATGTAACTCGAGTAAAAAGTATCGATTCATTTATCGGGCCCAGGATCTGCCAATTAATAAATTGGAACAACTTCGTAAGTGTAGTCCATTTTCGAATTTTTAAATCAAAAGGATCCAATTCGAGCAATATATATTGAATAAGTCAGCTCTTCTCATTTCAATTATAGTTTAATTTCTCTAAATTGCAAACTCTTGCTCCTAGCCATCCTCCTATCATCGAAATGCGAGATTAAAGTCGGAATCGTTGTTAACCGATTTCAAAGTCTGTCATTATGCCCAACGGGAATTCACGTCGTGCGTGTGAAATGAAGGGATGGCTACACTAGGAAGAGAAAAGAGGGGAAAGATCGATTTGAATGTGAATCTGCTAGCATGGCGGGCGACACAAAAGGGGCAAAAGAATATCGACGTTGATGTCACATTGAAGAATTTTGAGGATCTTGTCGTGGCAAATCACTGACCCCAATGGTCAAACCCCACTTACCTTCCGTATGTCGTGATCGTGCGTTGATCGTGCTTTACAAGACTTCTGTAAATTAAATAAAAAAAATAGGTGGGGTTGTAATTATGCTCCAATATGTTTTGATCCATTTCATCTTGTGATTTCCATTGAGATAGCACATCATTAAGTGGAGGATTTTCATAAATAATATACATAATTAGTTTTCTAAAGGGTTAATACCATGCAAAACTTCAAACTGGTACACTTA